GGGAGCCGCGCGCGACCCCCCGCTGCCCCGTCGACGGTCGCGTCGCCCCGCAATCCCGTCGCGCCGCCCTGGGGAGCCGCGCGCGACCCCCCGCTGCCCCGTCGCGGCGCCCTGGGGAGCCGCGCGCGGCCCCTCGCTGCCCCGTGGTGGCGCCCTGGGGGCCGCGCGCCGTCCCCCGCGCCATCCCCCACGCTCCTGCCCCGTGCCACCCGTTTTAGGGTTTGGGGGTGGCGAGTGTGGGGGTGGCGGTTATGGGGGTGCCGGGTGTGTCCGCCGTCCCTTGCTCCTCCTCCTCCTCCGTCTCCCACTGCTGCAGCTGTCGCTGAGGGGGGTGGGTGTGTGGGAGCCTAGGGAGTGGTGCTAGGGGGGTGACGTGGGAGTGGAGCTAGGGGTGCAGCAAGGAGTGTGTGAAAAAGGGGGTGGGACAGTTGGGGGAGGTTGAGCGGAGGCTGCCGTCTTGTCGTCCGCAGCACCTGTAGTCCGGGGCGCTGTCCTGGTAGCCCAGTCGTAGCCAGCTGCGCCAGTCGCCCGTGGGTCCGTTGCTCCTGCCGCTCGTCTTAGCCGCGGAGCCAGTTACTCCAGTAGTCCGGGGCGCTGTTCCGGTAGCCACTGTGCCAGTTTGACTCCTGTTGCCCGTGTGTCTGCAGCTTCAGCCGTCGCCTCCTATCTCCTCTCCTCTTACAGTCTCGCCTCCTCCTCCTCACTTGCCCTTTGTGAATGCCTCTAGCTTTGCATGCACTTGTGAATCTGCTCTATGACTGCTTGCTCTGCTGATTATACCCCACTTTGACTATGGGGGTGTGTCAGAATGTTGTATTTGTCTAGCCTGCAGTGGGGTACTCTATAGCGAGTACAGCCCAATCTAGGGTTTCCTATATGTACTGAACTGCTTGCTAGTGCAACCCTCTTTCTGCTTCTGACATTCCTGTTCGTTCATTCTGACACGCAAGTCTCTTTACGGGATAAAACAGGCACCGAGGCTTTGGCAGCAATATCTGCACAACATCCTGCTTGAAATCGGGTTCAAGCAGATGCCGCACGATCCTGGGATGTACCGCCGTGATTTCAGGGGCGAATACATTCTGCTCACGGTCTACGTCGACGACTTACTTTACACAGGCTCAAGCAACGAACTACTGAAGCAGTTCGAGAAAAGTCTGGCGGGGCGCGTCGACATCACGTGTAACTACAAGGTGAAGCAGTTCTTAGGCCTCAACATCTCCTACGCGCCCAAGGCCATTCATCTCTCAGCGGCTAAGTACGCAGAGGAGTTAGGGAAGCGGTTCAACAACTCATCTGTACCGCTCTCCACTCCCTACCGAACTCCCGGACCGAACCACAAACCTGACAACAAAGCCCTATCCCCTGCTGGCATTCAGACTTACCAGCAGCAGCTGGGATGCCTGCTCTTTGCCTCTGTCACATGCAGGCCTGACCTCTCCTACATCGCAAGTCAGCTGGCCCAGTACTCACGCAAACCAACGGCTGAGAATCTTCTGGATCTACAGCGCCCCCTACAGTTCCTCGTCTCAACGCCCAAGATTGGGCTGTGCTACTCAACTGCACCAACCCCATCCTTCAACCTCATCGGCTACGTGGATGCCGATCACGCAGCAGACCCCGATAATCGACGGTCCAGGACTGGCTTCCTGTTCCGACTCGAACCAACGGGACCAATCTCCTGGAATTCGCAGAAGCAGGAGTTGGTTGCCCTGTCATCAGCCGAAGCGGAATTCATCGCAGCAACTGCAGCAGTTCGCGAAGAGCTCTACTTGCAGGAACTTCTGCAGGAGACGAAGATTCCAGTTTCGCCCACCTTTCGCCTCCACTGCGACAACCAGAGCGCGATTCGCATCGCGAACAAACCTGGCTTCGTCAACCGCACCAAGCACATTGCGCTGCGGTATTTCTTCGTCAAGGACGAAGTGGACAAGGGCAAGATTTACTTGACCTATTGTCCAACCGGTGACATGGCAGCAGACTTCCTCACGAAGCGACTGCCACGTCAGCAGTATCAGCACTGTTCCGAACTCAGCGGAGTGGTCAAGCAGGTCAAGTCGAGCTACGGCCAGGAGTGAAAGGGGGTGTTACGAATGGAATGTTTGAGACATTACTGTGCACTCCTAACCGCAGCTAAGGAAGCATGCAGTATCGAGAACGAATATGAGGAGCCAGAACTGACTCCAAGCGTCAGAACGGTTGGGGCGGATCTGGACCGTCGGAGCAGACGGCATCGGGCAGCTGCAGGCAAGAGGAATTGGAAGGAACAGTTTTCGTAACTGTACGCGCCGCACGGTTAAGAATGAATTTGAATAAGGGAATGTACCCCTTATAGTACATGGCTAGCTAGGTCGATTCGAATTCCCTGTACTCTTATTTATATCACTGAATTTGCATGTTCTAAATCAAGCTCAAGCATTTTACATTCACTCTGCCATTGAGATCAATGGCCCACCAACACTATCTAACTGCGTGCGAACCTTCCCGAGTAGATCCTGGGAGCGATCCCCTTTCAGATCGTAGCAATGGTATCACGACAAATCTGGTTAGAATGTTATTCTTGTTCTCCATCACTTTTGACCTGTTTTTCTGGAATATGGATCAAGTTCTCTGTTTTATTTTTTTACCTAGGAAGATGTGCAGTTCCTTCAAGCATCATATTGTACAATCTTTATAACGGGTGATTCTAGTTTAGTCGCCGCATCTGACGGGGAACGCGATTTTCAGTGTGTGACGCGTTCAGCGCTGGGACGTAATCAGAATTCATCACCTCGATTTTTGTTCTTTGTCGCGAATTTCGCAACGTCAGGTTCCATGCTGACCCTGATATTCATTTCATGTGATTGGGTAGCAGTGTGGAGCAACTACACAGCTTCGGGTCAGCGCACGCCAACGAATTCCTCCTCCGAGCATCTACGGAATTCCCCAGCGAAACCCGAACCAGAGCTTTACGGGGTTGACGGACAACTTAGCTAAAATTGCCCATATTTTGCAGTGAGATCGAGCACAACCAAGCAGCTGATCTGGCGAAAATCGCGTGCGAGTTACCTGAAATATACGTGCTGCTCCTTCTGAGTTGTGAATTCGAGGTACCCCTCCCAGTATACCCACCCGATCTCAATGCGGATCGCGTTTCCAAGCAGAACCCAAATCGAACGCGGAACCATTGCATCCACAGCCCTCATCGCAACCACCATTCCGATTCCGCTCCAGTTCTGTATTTAGCAGTCCTCTGGGTTTCGCTCATTGCTGTATAGTACGACTTAGAAACCACAACGATTGATTATCCTACTATCCTCATAATGGCGCGCCTCTGCGGAATCACTGCTATTTCTCTCGTGCTAGTTGTCGCGCTCGTTCTCTCACCGTATGCTTCCATTGCCGTTGTTGCCAAGAAGGCCGAGCCCAAGAAGACTTAAGATGGTAAGGCCTCCCTCCTTCCCATCATTGGATACTTTCATCAAGTCGCCAATAGTGCCAGCAACTAGAGGTTAGTGTTATTTTAATGGTGGCTGGGGTATGTATTGGAGCTGACTCAACCATTACCGACTAATTTTTCAGCTCCTGTCTTCCTTTCGAGAGGGCTGCAGGGTTTTATACGTGTGATGAGGTGAAGAATATGAGGAGCAACGGGTATTGCAATTCGCCAGAAAACGAGACTCTGGAGCAATGCAACGCCAGGATCGACTACTACATAAACGATTGTGGAAGACCCGATCGTACGTGCGCTGCGGACCACGGGACCATAATGGTTACATATATTGATGACTACATGTCACGTGGCATGCATTCATGCCACCAAATTAAGACATGAATTTAAATTCACATCATCATGACCCACTCACATCATCAATTCCGCTTCGTCCTTTTCATATAAGATTCTGCCTAGTTTACTTGATCACATTCTTGTTCCTTCGCATCATAAGCTCCGTTCTCTTGGCATTCATACACCGTCACATTCTCGCCAATGAGCATGACATCAACATCTGTTTCACTCTCCCGCATCATTCCGTCACAATCTGCTTGGCCCCCACTAATTTAAAGCATTGCTTTTACCCGTCTCCTTTGCAGCTCCTAAAAAGGGCTTCGTTTCCTGGGTCAAGGGCCTGTTTGGTTGATCATGGCATCTTTTTTATTTCTGGTATGAATGGCTGCATAGAGCTAATGCCCTTCAATGCCAGTAGACTAACAAGGGTTATGTAGCTATCCTATATTTGTGCGTTTACAACCAGAGCTACCTTACTTGCGGTAATTTCGAAAAAAATCTGGTGCAGAACGATAACAATATTTTCAAGCACTTTCAAAATGTTGTGGTGACTTCTAGGGCCGGCGTTGGAAACTCCTACTGGTAGTTTTGACAGAATGTGCCGTAAATCTCTAACCCCGTGCTTCTGTTTTGCTGCCTGACTGATAGCGAATGCATAAACATGTGCCCACGTTCTAAGCATGTACTCAATACATGAGCAAAGAAGCCTGACTTGTTCCGTATGTAACTGCCAGATAGTTTTGTTCTTTACTCTTACTTGATCAGACTGCACACAACGAAAGGTATGTCTAGTTAGGCTTTTAGAGCTGCTACAAATAAGAAGCCCTAGTTACACATAAGGGTTTTGTTGCATGTCATGTCATGTATCATGCATGAAATTAATAGCTTGCGTCTTGAATCTTGATGTTTCGATATTGCACAATATCGGAGTTTTGCGTCACTTCGCTTCGGGTCAGGAAAGTGGGATCACACTAGTTGATTTTCGCTCAACACACCACCCAACTGTCTGTTTAGCTACTAAACCGTTTCCGACCGCTCTTACATCAGATCTTTCATAGGCCCTGTCTTGGGGACCTCTTTCTCATAACTGTTGTTTGCTCGTTCCGATCAAGCCATTCTATCATCCGCACCGCACCACAGTTGCTTCTGCGCCTCAGGCTTGTCTCAGCTTTTCCTGCTTTTACGTTCGACGTAATATCTGTAGCCTCGTGTCCGACACGTCACTCACGCGCACATGGACGAGGATCAAGGCCAGCTGTCCGTCTTCTTGGCCTTCCGCGAGAAATGCGACGCGCTGGAAGCCGCGATCCAAGCTTTAAGTTCCAGAGATTCCGGTTCCGTTGCTGAATCTGCACAGTCGGGGATCAACGGCGGGGATGCTAGTCAGCAAGTTGGCGATGCAGGAAGCACTCAACGGTTCGGATTGAATGCGGATCAAGAGGCGGTGGCAGCGCTGCGCGAGGTGGAGGAGCTCGTAGCGCACTTCGCGCCGTCGGTCCCGAGGCGCGACGTGGAGCAGATGACGTCACGCGTGGCCGCGCTTCGCGCCAACCTGGAATCAGCTCGATCCGCCTCAAAGCCCAAGAAACGATTCGCCTTTTCCTCTAGAGGGCAGAAGAAAACCTTGCCAGAAAATAAAGACGTCCCTAATTCTCAGAAATCTCTCGAGCAGCCTAAATCTCTCTCGTCGCTACAGGCAGTGGATGGTTGTCAGGTGGAGCAGGAAGGGGATCGGAGGAGAACGGGAATGGTGCCATGGTCCTCCGTCGTTGAGCCAACAGCGGCATCAGGAGGAGCCGCGGCGTCCGCAGCAGCAGCAGCAGCAGCAGCGCGCGGAGAAGCAGCGCCAGGAACAGCATCATCCACAGCAGCATGGTTGGGAGCAGCAGGAGAATCCGATGCATCTGCCGGAGTTCCATCCGCCATCACACCAATCAGCTCCGCGCGCCCCTCTCTCTCCATCTCCCACCGCTCCCACGAGCACATTCAGATCTCACCGGAGCAGCACAGACGCGGCGAGCTCACGTCGCAGCACCTCTCCCACTGCCACGTGTCCGTCCGAGGCGTCCTCTCCGCCGTCTTCCTCCGCCACGTGCGCGACTGCCACGTCAGCCTCTGCCCGGTGTCAGGAGCCTGCCACGTGGAGGACGCGTCAGGCAGCACTGTAGCCGTCGCGAGTCATCAGTTGAGGATACACCAGACAGAGCGCGCTGATTTCTATGTCCGCACGCGCAGCAGGCCGCTTATAGAGCACTCTAAGGGTGTCAGATTCGCGCCTTATAGTAGGGAGTATGATGGGTTGGAGGCGGATTTGAAGGATGCTGACCTGGCGGTGGATGGAGGGCTGTGGGGCCACGTGGACGATTTTGGTTGGCTGCGTGCTGTGCCGTCGCCGAATTGGTCGGTTATCCCTGAGGAAGAGAGGAAGAGCTTTACAGAGGCGTGAAGCTTTACAGGTGCAGGGGGGGTTGCAAATACCTGTACGTGTTTTGAGGCGCCCCAATGGTTGGCTATTCCTGAGGAGGAGAGGAAGAGCTTTACAGAGGCGTGGAAACTCTGTAGACTCATGGGGGCTTGCAGAAATGGCAAGGCTTCACAGGTGCATGGAGCTTTGCAGAGGTGGAAAAGCTTCACAGCTGGACAAGCATTCACCGAGGCATGAGTCTTCACAGAGAATGGGGTCTTGCAGACTTGTGAAGTCTAGTGCTGAAAGTCAGGCAAAGTTGGAGAGCTGTGGTGGTGGTGGCGGTGGGAGGGCGAAAGGAAAGGGGGAGGTGGTGTGTCGTGCAGACTGCAGAAGATGGTACCGTAATTTCAGTGGCTGCAGGATTGTTGAGAGTCGAAATGCTGCCGCAGAAATCTGGTAGAAATGGTGAATACCGTCATACCCCGGATAGTAGCGCAGATGCGCTTATAATAAAATCTTGATTTTATTTGGGTGCGCTTATAATCGAGTAACGGCCATAAGCGCCGGCGCCTTTATAATGGCAAAAATGAAATTTGTTTGTAAGGGTACCAAAATGAAGCTTGCAATAAGGCGAACACAACGATGTGCCGTTCACGTGGGGTCATGCATGGAATCCTCGCGCTATTCGCCGCGATTCGATTCCCCACCGCACACTTCACGTCCCAGTGCAGCGCACCTGCCAGCGCTGACACAAAAGCTGTCGTGCGGCCCAATCGGGTTGTCATGCGCGGCCAGGCAGGACAACTCATCCGAACCCTCTCGAAGGGTGTGGAATATGCCCTGCCAGCACAGCACGTCTGGTGCCATGAACCCTCCTCTGCGGGTTCAGGCAGGGTGATTTTCGTCTTTCATTGATGAGGACCCCGAGGCGCTTTCCTGAAGGGGTCCTCTTCAATCGTTCATTTCTTCATTCATGCTTTGCGTTTCCCATTCACTTTCTTGTTCACGCCCGCCTGGCTGCGGAAGCCATGGCGGAATTCACAGGCACTCATTTCCTTTTCAAGAAAAAACCTAGGCCCGCTTACACAGTTGACGCTGACGGATGGTACACACGTATCCCACCAGAACCACCATCGCCACCACAGCCTCCTGCTCCTCCTGCGCCACCTGCTCCTCCTGCGCCACCTGCTCCTCCCGCTCCTCCCGCTCCTCCTGCTCCTCCGTATCAGGCGTTCCCACAACCGCCTGGGAATCATCCCGTGCTTACGCTCTTGCTCCCGTCCACCTTCGACGAGTACCTGTCTGAACCGGACAATAACAAGGGTCCAGACGTGTATGTACGGGCTCCGGCACCTGCACCAAGATGGGGCGCGCCCGAAGAATGCACGTGGGACGAATCTGCCGTCGGCGCCGACGACGATGTGGCTGACGCCGCGGAAGAAGGTCGTGCCGAGGGCGACAACGGTGCCGAGGATGGCACGGAGGCCGAAACCGAGGCTGGCACCGCGGCCGATGTGTTTCCAGAGGGTGAACCAGGCGCCGCCGACGACGACGGCGTCGAATACTGGTCTCGCGATGGGCTCCCTGAGAAACTCCCGATTCCGACTTTCCCTCCTGTTAACCGCAAGCGACCTCACCCTTCTGCTGAGAATCGTGATGCCCGCCCCCCCTCTCCCAGGAACAAAGTCAACCAGCATAAGCGTCAAGCTTATACTGCGCAAGAAAAACTGCAGTGGGTCGCGCGGCTGGATGTGGGGGTGTCGGTGCGCTCCTTGTCTCGAGAAAGCGGCATCCACCGGAAGTGTCTCACGGAGTGGAAGCGCGCCGCCGATTTCCTCAAGGAGGTGCACGCCGCACGGAAGCGCATGCACGGCCGCGGGAGGTCTTCATGGTACCGCCCGATGGAGCTGAAAGTGTACGAAAGGCTACTAGAGTGGCGCCGCAAGGGAACAGCAGTCTCCGTCGGCCGTCTGCAGGAGTGGTCGCACGAGTTCATGAAGCTGCTCTACCCGCTTGTGAAGTGGAAGGGCAGCCAGCGGTGGTCGGAACGGTTTCGGAAGCGGTGGAATCTGAGCGTCCGCATGAAGACGCGCGTCGCCCAGAAAACTGCAGCCCGTAAGTCTTAACCGTGTATCAAGCCTGTGGGTCGTTCCAGTTCATGTATACTGACGCATCTTCTTTATGTGCCTCGTTTTTTTACAGATGTCGCGGAGATGTGCCGCAAGTTTTGGCAGTACGTGCGTGATAGGCGGCGTGAGCGCGGCATCGAGACTACGTGGATCATCAACGCCGACCAGACGCCGCTGTGGCTGGAGATGCCCGCCACCACCACCGTGGAACAGACAGGCGTGCGGTCGGTGCCCATCCGGAGTGCGGGATACCAGAAGGAGCGCGTCACCGTGATGCTGGCGTGCACGGCGGATGGGGAGAAACTCAAACCATGGGTTTTTTTCAAGCGCAAGACAGTGCCGAAGGGAGATTTCCCGCCCGGTAAGAAATTGCACTTTAAATGGGTTGATTCGTTGCTTTACTAAATCGTCGCTAACCACCCTGCCCGTGTATCATTGTGCAGATGTCGTCGTCGCCTGCCACGAGAACGGGTGGATGGACGCCGAAGGCGTCATCCGATGGCTGGAGGAGTGCGTCCAACCGTTTCTTAGGCCTCGATTCGGCAGGCATGCAAGGAGCGCGATGGTGGTCCTCGACTCCTACCGCGGTCACCTCACCCAAGGGGTCAAGGACAAGTTCGCCGAGCTCAACATCGTGCCGGCGGTGATCCCGGCAGGCTGTACGGCGGAGATTCAGCCGCTGGACGTCTCTATCAACAAGTCGTTCAAGGCCTCCGTCCGCCAGCAGTACCAGAAGTGGTTTGAAGACGAAGGCCAAGAGCGACTGACAGCAGCAGGTAAGCTTACATAGAAGAACTACAGTCGTTCCTTGACATGCTCTCGTGAACCGTTTATTAAAACTGACGAGAGTGATGTGTCTCTGCCTGTTGGTGCAGGGAACCTCAAGAAGCCGCCTCCTGCGGTGGTAGTGAAGTGGATCTCGCGGGCATGGAAGGCAGTGCCCGCGGACCTCATCAAGCGCGCCTTTCTCACCTGTGGCATCAGCAACGCTCTTGACGGCAGCGAGGACTCGCTTGCCATGGCGCACAGGCGAAGCCAGCTGACTCGTGAAGTCGATGTCGATGACGACATCATCGCTGACGGCTTCTTTGGCAACAACTGCCAGGAGCCCGAGTCTGACGAGGAGGAGTAGGTAGCTAGGCTGTAGTCGGACTTGAGTAGCTGGTTCAACCTGAGTAGGCTGTTGTGTATGAACCTTGAAATTGATAGGGTGAAACAACTCTTGTTAGGAATTAAAAAAATGTAATGTTCTGTGAAATTAGATTGATAAGTAGATAACAGACTTTGCACATGCGCTTATAATAAGTTCAGACCTGAAAAGGGGTGCGCTTCTAATCGAGGATCCTCTATAAGCGCCATGCTCCAGATAGAAGCGCCGGCGCCTTTAATCGGACGGCGCTTATTCCGGGGCCATACGGTATGGTAGATGTATGTACCGTACTAGAACTGAGTGGGCAGGCAGGCAGCGTAGGCATCGCAAGTCCCTGTAGCTCTAGCTCTTGGTATTTCTCCAGATTGTCATGGCACTTTCCTGTATGCACAATACCAATGTGAGACGATCTTATAAATCTGTTATTTCAGATTGTGACACTTCCTACTCCAAATTGACCTTCAGTGCCAACTCCTACGCAATGATAGACGGAAAAGACAAAATTGAAGGAACATCTTTTAGGATATATCACTTTTCTCTTCATGTTCCACTACTTCGCCTCATCCTTACTCCCTCCCTCCACCTGTGCTCCATCCAGCTTCCTTGTCTCCAAGAGAGCTTTCCTGAGCTGCAAGCCCAGAGCCAGGGCCAGAGACGGAGGGACAGCGTTGCCGATCTGGCGATGCTTGGCTTGAATGTTACCAGCGAAACGATACCAGTTAGGGAAGCCCTGAATTTTCGAGGGGTTGGTGGCAAAATTGTGAACACAAGGGGGCATTGGGAGCATGGTTCGGGAGTGAAATTGTGGCTGGAGAAGCATTGAGGTAATACATAATGCCTTCAATAACTGGCCTTCAAGGAAAGACGACCCTGCCAACTGAAAAATGGTACACCCACAAACAAATGTAACCTCCCTTATCTCAGATCCTGCACACTCACTCTTGTACACACACCCACACAGAATTATTCCCCTACCTGTGTTCACGCACACTCTCGCACACTCTTGTACACTGACATTGCGATCTTGCTCCGGGTGAAAGCACATGCCCACTTTCCCCATCAGCTGCGGGCCCATCACAGTTGTGGGGAGCAGGATCCTTCCCTGTGCTTCTATTTTCCTGTGCTCACACAAACCCACACGCTCAAAACTCCCCCTTCCCTCACCTGGGATCGCGCACACTCGCGCACGCTGACAATGCGGTCCTGCTCGGGGTGAAAGCACATGCCCACTTTCCCCATGGGCTGGGGGTCCGTCACAGACGTGGGGAAGTTGCCCGCCCAGTCCAGCCGCCCAAACAGCCCCTTCCAGTTGTTGTGGCGCTCCATGGTGTTGGGTAGGCACCAGGGGACCAGATCAGCTTCGCGGCCATCGGATAAGCGAACCTGTGGTGTGAAAGAAAGGGATGGGAAGGGGAAGGCGGGTTAGGGGGTAAGAACGGGAGTTCTAGTCCAGCCGCCCAAACAGCCCCTTCCAGTTGTTGTGGCGCTCCATGGTGTTGGGTAGGCGCCAGGGGACCAGATCAGCTTCGCGGCCATCGGATAAGCGAACCTGTGGTGTGAAAGAAAGGGATGGGAAGGGGAAGGCGGGTTAGGGGGTAAGAACGGGAGTTCTAGTCCAGCCGCCCAAACAGCCCCTTCCAGTTGTTGTGGCGCTCCATGGTGTTGGGTAGGCAAGGTCCGCCTCACGCCCATTAACAGCCACACCTGGTGTATGAAAGGAAAGGATAGGAAGGGATCGTGCGAGCAACTTTCACTGTACTACAAACTATTGTGAAAGGAAACAAGAGCGCCAAAGAAGGAGATGAAATGAGACGGGCTGCGGAATGGAGGGGGGCACTGATGCTAGATGCATGCATACATGAAGCCATTTTAGCTTGACGCCATCCAACTCACACCTTGCTGTCCCACCCATCCTCACTTTAATATCCGGCAGCTCCCGCCAGTCCGCGCCTGGGCGTCTGGGATGTGTTTGCAGCGTTTGAGGTTGAGATGAGGGGCCTGTACGTGTGGGCTAGCAGCCCCACCCTCGCCCTCTGATAAGCTTCTTTGCATTAAGGGGGGGCAGGTTTTACAAGCTCGTACATTGATACCCAGCAGGCACCCCCTATCCTCACCTTGATATCCAGCAGGCACCCCCTATTCTCACCTTGATATCGGGCAGGTCCCGCCAGTCGGCGCCTGGGCGCCTGGGGATGTGCTGGCAGCGCTTCAAATTGAGTTCGTTCATTTTCTTGCACGTGTGGTCCAGCAGCTTGGCCTGCTGCGATCGGATGCAGCGTTGAAACCAGGAGGAGGGCTCGGAAGAGTACTGCGGGAGGGAATAGGGTGGGGGGGAGGGGAGAGGGAAGTGGGAGGTCATGCATGTGAGGTTGCACATGTGGTCCAGCAGCTTGGCCTGCTGGGATCGGATGAAGCGCTGGAACCAAGATGCGGGCTCGGAAGAATACTGCAGAGGGACGGAACGGGGAGCGTGCAGGTGGGGGAGGTGAGGGAAGGGAGAGCGTTGGCAGCGTTTGAGGTTGAGGTCGTTCATGCGCTTGCACGTGTGGTCTAGGAGCTTCGCTTGCTGCGCTCGAATGCACCGCTGGAACCACAAAGAGGGCTCCGAGGAGTGCTGTGGGAGGGGATGTATGGTAGGGGCAGACAGGAAAGGGAACTTGGCTTGCGGTTTGAGGTGCCTAATAATCACTTCAAGACAACTCTAAAAACTGGAGGTACTTATATCAGCTCTTCCTCTTTTGCCCCATTCTCAATCCGTGGCACAACCCCCATTGCGCACCATACCCACACCACATGCTGTACTGCATTATTGGAGGCATGCCAACCAACTAGCAACTCACCACCTATCTGAGAGATTCTTGAGAATTCTCAAACATCGCTCACAGAGGCATTTCACCTGAAACTCACCTCCGTCTCCTCCTCCTCCGCCCCGTTTTCAATGCTTGGCAGGTCAACCATTGCGTCCCAAATGTCTTGTTTCAAACAACTCTAAGACCCACCCACACAACTCACCTCCATCTCCTCCTCCTCCGCGCCGTTCTCAATGCTCGGCAGGTCCCCCATCGCATCCCGCACTGTGATTGACCGCAGCGGCGCCCCAATTGCCAGGCCGCGTGGACACGCCTCATTGGCCAGCGAGCTGGCCGTGCTGAACTGACCAATACTAGCAGCGCCGCCAGCAGCGCCAGCAGCAGCAGCAGCGGAGGTGGTGAGGGGGACAGAGAGCTGGGAGGAGGCGAAGACGTGCAGAGGCTGGGGCCACTCGGGGAGCACGTGGCCCGGCGCTGCTGCCCAGATGAACGCCCTCGTGCGGGATTGAGATATTCCGAAGTTGCCGGCTTGTAAGACGCCAAAGCGGACCTGGAGGGGGTGGGGGAAGGGGAGAACGAGCAGAAGACGGATGGAGAGGCGCTTTTGAGTCGACTCAAGGGGAGAACGAGCAGAAGACGGATGGAGAGGCGCTTTTGAGTCGACTCAAAGGGAGAACGAGCAGAAGACGGATGGAGAGGCGCTTTTGAGTCGACTCAAAGGGAGAACGAGCAGAAGACGGATGGAGAGGCGCTTTTGAGTCGACTCAAAGGGAGAACGAGCAGAAGACGGATGGAGAGGCGCTTTTGAGTCGACTCAAAGGGAGAACGAGCAGAAGACGGATGGAGAGGCGCTTTTGAGTCGACTCAAAGGGAGAACGAGCAGAAGACGGATGGAGAGGCGCTTTTGAGTCGACTCAAGGGGAGAACGAGCAGAAGACGGATGGAGAGGCGCTTTTGAGTCGACTCAAAGGGAGAACGAGCAGAAGACGGATGGAGAGGCGCTTTTGAGTCGACTCAAAGGGAGAACGAGCAGAAGACGGATGGAGAGGCGCTTTTGAGTCGACTCAAAGGGAGAACGAGCAGAAGACGGATGGAGAGGCGCTTTTGAGTCGACTCAAAGGGAGAACGAGCAGAAGACGGATGGAGAGGCGCTTTTGAGTCGACTCAAAGGGAGAACGAGCAGAAGACGGATGGAGAGGCGCTTTTGAGTCGACTCAAAGGGAGAACGAGCAGAAGACGGATGGAGAGGCGCTTTTGAGTCGACTCAAAGGGAGAACGAGCAGAAGACGGATGGAGAGGCGCTTTTGAGTCGACTCAAAGGGAGAACGAGCAGAAGACGGATGGAGAGGCGCTTTTGAGTCGACTCAAAGGGAGAACGAGCAGAAGACGGATGGAGAGGCGCTTTTGAGTCGACTCAAAGGGAGAACGAGCAGAAGACGGATGGAGAGGCGCTTTTGAGTCGACTCAAAGGGAGAACGAGCAGAAGACGGATGGAGAGGCGCTTTTGAGTCGACTCAAAGGGAGAACGAGCAGAAGACGGATGGAGAGGCGCTTTTGAGTCGACTCAAAGGGAGAACGAGCAGAAGACGGATGGAGAGGCGCTTTTGAGTCGACTCAAAGGGAGAACGAGCAGAAGACGGATGGAGAGGCGCTTTTGAGTCGACTCAAAGGGAGAACGAGCAGAAGACGGATGGAGAGGCGCTTTTGAGTCGACTCAAAGGGAGAACGAGCAGAAGACGGATGGAGAGGCGCTTTTGAGTCGACTCAAAGGGAGAACGAGCAGAAGACGGATGGAGAGGCGCTTTTGAGTCGACTCAAAGGGAGAACGAGCAGAAGACGGATGGAGAGGCGCTTTTGAGTCGACTCAAAGGGAGAACGAGCAGAAGACGGATGGAGAGGCGCTTTTGAGTCGACTCAAAGGGAGAACGAGCAGAAGACGGATGGAGAGGCGCTTTTGAGTCGACTCAAAGGGAGAACGAGCAGAAGACGGATGGAGAGGCGCTTTTGAGTCGACTCAAAGGGAGAACGAGCAGAAGACGGATGGAGAGGCGCTTTTGAGTCGACTCAAGGGGAGAACGAGCAGAAGACGGATGGAGAGGCGCTTTTGAGTCGACTCAAAGGGAGAACGAGCAGAAGACGGATGGAGAGGCGCTTTTGAGTCGACTCAAGGGGAGAACGAGCAGAAGACGGATGGAGAGGCGCTTTTGAGTCGACTCAAAGGGAGAACGAGCAGAAGACGGATGGAGAGGCGCTTTTGAGTCGACTCAAAGGGAGAACGAGCAGAAGACGGATGGAGAGGCGCTTTTGAGTCGACTCAAGGGGAGAACGAGCAGAAGACGGATGGAGAGGCGCTTTTGAGTCGACTCAAAGGGAGAACGAGCAGAAGACGGATGGAGAGGCGCTTTTGAGTCGACTCAAAGGGAGAACGAGCAGAAGACGGATGGAGAGGCGCTTTTGAGTCGACTCAAAGGGAGAACGAGCAGAAGACGGATGGAGAGGCGCTTTTGAGTCGACTCAAGGGGAGAACGAGCAGAAGACGGATGGAGAGGCGCTTTTGAGTCGACTCAAAGGGAGAACGAGCAGAAGACGGATGGAGAGGCGCTTTTGAGTCGACTCAAAGGGAGAACGAGCAGAAGACGGATGGAGAGGCGCTTTTGAGTCGACTCAAAGGGAGAACGAGCAGAAGACGGATGGAGAGGCGCTTTTGAGTCGACTCAAAGGGAGAACGAGCAGAAGACGGATGGAGAGGCGCTTTTGAGTCGACTCAAAGGGAGAACGAGCAGAAGACGGATGGAGAGGCGCTTTTGAGTCGACTCAAAGGGAGAACGAGCAGAAGACGGATGGAGAGGCGCTTTTGAGTCGACTCAAAGGGAGAACGAGCAGAAGACGGATGGAGAGGCGCTTTTGAGTCGACTCAAAGGGAGAACGAGCAGAAGACGGATGGAGAGGCGCTTTTGAGTCGACTCAAAGGGAGAACGAGCAGAAGACGGATGGAGAGGCGCTTTTGAGTCGACTCAAAGGGAGAACGAGCAGAAGACGGATGGAGAGGCGCTTTTGAGTCGACTCAAAGGGAGAACGAGCAGAAGACGGATGGAGAGGCGCTTTTGAGTCGACTCAAAGGGAGAACGAGCAGAAGACGGATGGAGAGGCGCTTTTGAGTCGACTCAAAGGGAGAACGAGCAGAAGACGGATGGAGAGGCGCTTTTGAGTCGACTCAAGGGGAGAACGAGCAGAAGACGGATGGAGAGGCGCTTTTGAGTCGACTCAAGGGGAGAACGAGCAGAAGACGGATGGAGAGGCGCTTTTGAGTCGACTCAAAGGGAGAACGAGCAGAAGACGGATGGAGAGGCGCTTTTGAGTCGACTCAAAGGGAGAACGAGCAGAAGACGGATGGAGAGGCGCTTTTGAGTCGACTCAAGGGGAGAACGAGCAGAAGACGGATGGAGAGGCGCTTTTGAGTCGACTCAAGGGGAGAACGAGCAGAAGACGGATGGAGAGGCGCTTTTGAGTCGACGCAAAGGGAGAACGAGCAGAAGACGGATGGAGAGGCGCTTTTGAGTCGACTCAAAGGGAGAACGAGCAGAAGACGGATGGAGAGGCGCTTTTGAGTCGACTCAAAGGGAGAACGAGCAGAAGACGGATGGAGAGGCGCTTTTGAGACGACTCAAAGGGAGAACGAGCAGAAGACGGATGGAGAGGCGCTTTTGAGTCGACTCAAGGGGAGAACGAGCAGAAGACGGATGGAGAGGCGCTTTTGAGTCGACTCAAAGGGAGAACGAGCAGAAGACGGATGGAGAGGCGCTTTTGAGTCGACTCAAAGGGAGAACGAGCAGAAGACGGATGGAGAGGCGCTTTTGAGTCGACTCAAAGGGAGAACGAGCAGAAGACGGATGGAGAGGCGCTTTTGAGTCGACTCAAAGGGAGAACGAGCAGAAGACGGATGGAGAGGCGCTTTTGAGTCGACTCAAGGGGAGAACGAGCAGAAGACGGATGGAGAGGCGCTTTTGAGTCGACTCAAAGGGAGAACGAGCAGAAGACGGATGGAGAGGCGCTTTTGAGTCGACTCAAAGGGAGAACGAGCAGAAGACGGATGGAGAGGCGCTTTTGAGTCGACTCAAAGGGAGAACGAGCAGAAGACGGATGGAGAGGCGCTTTTGAGTCGACTCAAAGGGAGAACGAGCAGAAGACGGATGGAGAGGCGCTTTTGAGTCGACTCAAAGGGAGAACGAGCAGAAGACGGATGGAGAGGCGCTTTTGAGTCGACTCAAAGGGAGAACGAGCAGAAGACGGATGGAGAGGCGCTTTTGAGTCGACTCAAAGGGAGAACGAGCAGAAGACGGATGGAGAGGCGCTTTTGAGTCGACTCAAAGGGAGAACGAGCAGAAGACGGATGGAGAGGCGCTTTTGAGTCGACTCAAAGGGAGAACGAGCAGAAGACGGATGGAGAGGCGCTTTTGAGTCGACTCAAAGGGAGAACGAGCAGAAGACGGATGGAGAGGCGCTTTTGAGTCGACTCAAAGGGAGAACGAGCAGAAGACGGATGGAGAGGCGCTTTTGAGTCGACTCAAAGGGAGAACGAGCAGAAGACGGATGGAGAGGCGCTTTTGAGTCGACTCAAAGGGAGAACGAGCAGAAGACGGATGGAGAGGCGCTTTTGAGTCGACTCAAAGGGAGAACGAGCAGAAGACGGATGGAGAGGCGCTTTTGAGTCGACTCAAGGGGAGAACGAGCAGAAGACGGATGGAGAGGCGCTTTTGAGTCGACTCAAAGGGAGAACGAGCAGAAGACGGATGGAGAGGCGCTTTTGAGTCGACTCAAAGGGAGAACGAGCAGAAGACGGATGGAGAGGCGCTTTTGAGTCGACTCAAAGGGAGAACGAGCAGAAGACGGATGGAGAGGCGCTTTTGAGTCGACTCAAAGGGAGAACGAGCAGAAGACGGATGGAGAGGCGCTTTTGAGTCGACTCAAAGGGAGAACGAGCAGAAGACGGATGGAGAGGCGCTTTTGAGTCGACTCAAAGGGAGAACGAGCAGAAGACGGATGGAGAGGCGCTTTTGAGTCGACTCAAAGGGAGAACGAGCAGAAGACGGATGGAGAGGCGCTTTTGAGTCGACTCAAAGGGAGAACGAGCAGAAGACGGATGGAGAGGCGCTTTTGAGTCGACTCAAAGGGAGAACGAGCAGAAGACGGATGGAGAGGCGCTTTTGAGTCGACTCAAGGGGAGAACGAGCAGAAGACGGATGGAGAGGCGCTTTTGAGTCGACTCAAGGGGAGAACGAGCAGAAGACGGATGGAGAGGCGCTTTTGAGTCGACTCAAAGGGAGAACGAGCAGAAGACGGATGGAGAGGCGCTTTTGAGTCGACTCAAAGGGAGAACGAGCAGAAGACGGATGGAGAGGCGCTTTTGAGTCGACTCAAGGGGAGAACGAGCAGAAGACGGATGGAGAGGCGCTTTTGAGTCGACTCAAGGGGAGAACGAGCAGAAGACGGATGGAGAGGCGCTTTTGAGTCGACGCAAAGGGAGAACGAGCAGAAGACGGATGGAGAGGCGCTTTTGAGTCGACTCAAAGGGAGAACGAGCAGAAGACGGATGGAGAGGCGCTTTTGAGTCGACTCAAAGGGAGAACGAGCAGAAGACGGATGGAGAGGCGCTTTTGAGTCGACTCAAAGGGAGAACGAGCAGAAGACGGATGGAGAGGCGCTTTTGAGTCGACTCAAGGGGAGAACGAGCAGAAGACGGATGGAGAGGCGCTTTTGAGTCGACTCAAAGGGAGAACGAGCAGAAGACGGATGGAGAGGCGCTTTTGAGTCGACTCAAAGGGAGAACGAGCAGAAGACGGATGGAGAGGCGCTTTTGAGTCGACTCAAAGGGAGAACGAGCAGAAGACGGATGGAGAGGCGCTTTTGAGTCGACTCAAAGGGAGAACGAGCAGAAGACGGATGGAGAGGCGCTTTTGAGTCGACTCAAGGGGAGAACGAGCAGAAGACGGATGGAGAGGCGCTTTTGAGTCGACTCAAGGGGAGAACGAGCAGAAGACGGATGGAGAGGCGCTTTTGAGTCGACTCAAAGGGAGAACGAGCAGAAGACGGATGGAGAGGCGCTTTTGAGTCGACTCAAAGGGAGAACGAGCAGAAGACGGATGGAGAGGCGCTTTTGAGTCGACTCAAGGGGAGAACGAGCAGAAGACGGATGGAGAGGCGCTTTTGAGTCGACTCAAGGGGAGAACGAGCAGAAGACGGATGGAGAGGCGCTTTTGAGTCGACGCAAAGGGAGAACGAGCAGAAGACGGATGGAGAGGCGCTTTTGAGTCGACTCAAAGGGAGAACGAGCAGAAGACGGATGGAGAGGCGCTTTTGAGTCGACTCAAAGGGAGAACGAGCAGAAGACGGATGGAGAGGCGCTTTTGAGTCGACTCAAAGGGAGAACGAGCAGAAGACGGATGGAGAGGCGCTTTTGAGTCGACTCAAGGGGAGAACGAGCAGAAGACGGATGGAGAGGCGCTTTTGAGTCGACTCAAAGGGAGAACGAGCAGAAGACGGATGGAGAGGCGCTTTTGAGTCGACTCAAAGGGAGAACGAGCAGAAGACGGATGGAGAGGCGCTTTTGAGTCGACTCAAAGGGAGAACGAGCAGAAGACGGATGGAGAGGCGCTTTTGAGTCGACTCAAAGGGAGAACGAGCAGAAGACGGATGGAGAGGCGCTTTTGAGTCGACTCAAGGGGAGAACGAGCAGAAGACGGATGGAGAGGCGCTTTTGAGTCGACTCAAAGGGAGAACGAGCAGAAGACGGATGGAGAGGCGCTTTTGAGTCGACTCAAAGGGAGAACGAGCAGAAGACGGATGGAGAGGCGCTTTTGAGTCGACTCAAAGGGAGAACGAGCAGAAGACGGATGGAGAGGCGCTTTTGAGTCGACTCAAAGGGAGAACGAGCAGAAGACGGATGGAGAGGCGCTTTTGAGTCGACTCAAAGGGAGAACGAGCAGAAGACGGATGGAGAGGCGCTTTTGAGTCGACTCAAAGGGAGAACGAGCAGAAGACGGATGGAGAGGCGCTTTTGAGTCGACTCAAAGGGAGAACGAGCAGAAGACGGATGGAGAGGCGCTTTTGAGTCGACTCAAAGGGAGAACGAGCAGAAGACGGATGGAGAGGCGCTTTTGAGTCGACTCAAAGGGAGAACGAGCAGAAGACGGATGGAGAGGCGCTTTTGAGTCGACTCAAAGGGAGAACGAGCAGAAGACGGATGGAGAGGCGCTTTTGAGTCGACTCAAAGGGAGAACGAGCAGAAGACGGATGGAGAGGCGCTTTTGAGTCGACTCAAAGGGAGAACGAGCAGAAGACGGATGGAGAGGCGCTTTTGAGTCGACTCAAAGGGAGAACGAGCAGAAGACGGATGGAGAGGCGCTTTTGAGTCGACTCAAAGGGAGAACGAGCAGAAGACGGATGGAGAGGCGCTTTTGAGTCGACTCAAGGGGAGAACGAGCAGAAGACGGATGGAGAGGCGCTTTTGAGTCGACTCAAAGGGAGAACGAGCAGAAGACGGATGGAGAGGCGCTTTTGAGTCGACTCAAAGGGAGAACGAGCAGAAGACGGATGGAGAGGCGCTTTTGAGTCGACTCAAAGGGAGAACGAGCAGAAGACGGATGGAGAGGCGCTTTTGAGTCGACTCAAAGGGAGAACGAGCAGAAGACGGATGGAGAGGCGCTTTTGAGTCGACTCAAAGGGAGAACGAGCAGAAGACGGATGGAGAGGCGCTTTTGAGTCGACTCAAAGGGAGAACGAGCAGAAGACGGATGGAGAGGCGCTTTTGAGTCGACTCAAAGGGAGAACGAGCAGAAGACGGATGGAGAGGCGCTTTTGAGTCGACTCAAAGGGAGAACGAGCAGAAGACGGATGGAGAGGCGCTTTTGAGTCGACTCAAGGGGAGAACGAGCAGAAGACGGATGGAGAGGCGCTTTTGAGTCGACTCAAAGGGAGAACGAGCAGAAGACGGATGGAGAGGCGCTTTTGAGTCGACTCAAGGGGAGAACGAGCAGAAGACGGATGGAGAGGCGCTTTTGAGTCGACTCAAAGGGAGAACGAGCAGAAGACGGATGGAGAGGCGCTTTTGAGTCGACTCAAAGGGAGAACGAGCAGAAGACGGATGGAGAGGCGGTGAAAAGTTGCCCGATTGAAGGATGCCGACGGACATGGTAGGGCGAGAGGGAGGTGTGATGGTTTGATGGTGCGATGGTGTGACGGCTGGTGGTTGATGGTGTGGTTCTGGTGTTCAATTAGCCTATGGCGACACACACAAGTATATAATGCCTACCTGGTAGCCCATGGCAAGGAGTGTTCGGAGGGCCAGGCGGAAGGTGCGGGCACCATTGAAGGAGACGAAGTTGCGCACGTTCTCAAGGAGGAAGTAGTTGGGGCGGAGGAAATCCGCAAAGGAGAGGAATGCGTGCAGAGAAGCGAACAAGTGCTTGCACGTACTGCTTATCTGATAGCCCATGGCAAGCGAAGTCCTCAGAGCGAGGCGGAACGTCCGGGCCCCGTTAAAGGAGACGAAGTTGCGGACGTTCTCGAGAGTAGTTGGGACGGAGGAATCCGCGAAGGAGAGAGACGCAGTGATGACACCATTCCAAGCGTATAATATAATGCGTACCTGGTAGCCCATGGCAAGAAGAGTCCGGAGGGCGAGGCGGAAAGTCCGAGCCCCATTGAACGACACAAAGTTGCGCACGTTCTCGAGAAGGAAGTAGTTGGGCCGAAGAAAATCCGCAAAGGAGAGGAAAGCGAGGATCATCTCGCACTGCACCTTGCTCCATGGGTTCTGGTTGAATCGATTCATGCCGGAGAAACCCTGTGAGGGAGGGGAGGAGTAACACGAGGATGAAGGGGACAATCAAGGAGGAGGGGAGGCAATGAAAGGACGAGGATTGCCTTGCACTGCACCTTGCTCAGCAGGGTCTAATTGAAGCGGTTCATTCCGCTTACCTGGCCGTGCGGGCCCCTGTTGGCGAATTCCACTTCGTTGGGCCAAGGCAGATTGCCCCTCTGTGCTTCTGCCATCATCCCACCACTCACTGCACCTGAATGAGTGCCAACGCGAACCCCCAGTACCTGGCAGGGCGGCCCCCCATTGACAACGCGTGCGTGTAATGAGTCGAGTTTTGAGTCGACTCAACACTTGCGTGTTATGAGTCGAGTTTTGAGTCGACTCAAAACTTGCGTGTAATGAGTCGAGTTTTGAGTCGACTCAAAACTTGCCCCTCTGTGCTTCTGACATCATCCTACCACTCACTGCACCTGAATAAGTGCCAACGCGAACCCCCAGTACCTGGCAAGGCGGCCCCCCATTGACAAACTCCACTTGCCCAGGCAGAGGCAGCTTGCCCCCCTCTGCCTAAGCTCTCTTTTGCACTAAAATCACAAGTACAGGTGTAAGCGCCACCTCAAACCCTTGCACCCTGTCAGAGCGCTTACCCTAAATCACTGCCCAAAAGATCAAGTGCGTACATGGCAGGGCGGCCCTCCATTCACTAAGTCCACTTGGCCGGGCAGCGGCAGCTTGCCCTTTTCTGCCTCGGCCATCTCCCTACCACTCACGGCGCCTCCTGATTAAGTGCCACCTGAAACCCGCGTACCTGGCAGGGCGGCCCTCCATTGACGAAGTCCACTTGGCCGGGCAGAGGCAGCTTGCCCCTCTCCGCCTCCGCCATCTTTGCTGCTGCTTCATCCGCCTCTGGCGTTGACACACAGTCGCCCAGCTGGCCTGCCTGCTCCATCATGCTCCTGAGGAGGGAGGGACACGGGGGATGGCGGAAGGGGGAATGGGAGGAGGGGTGTGGAAAGGCTGCTTTCCTGTCTTTCTTGGCCATCTTTTCTGATGCCTCTTCCGCCTCTGGCGTTGACACACAGTCGCCCAGCTGGCCTGCCTGCTCCATCATGCTCCTGAGGAGGGAGGGACACGGGGGATGGCGAAAGGGGGAATGGGAGGAGGGGTGTGGAAAGGCTGCTTTCCTGTCTCTCTTGGCCATCTTTTCTGATGCCTCGTCCGCCTCTGGCGTTGACACACAGTCGCCCAGCTGGCCTGCCTGCTCCATCATGCTCCTGAGGAGGGAGGGACACGGGGGATGGCGGAAGGGGGAATGGGAGGAGGGGTGTGGAAAGGCTGCTTTCCTGTCTCTCTTGGCCATCTTTTCTGATGCCTCGTCCGCCTCTGGCGTTGACACACAGTCGCCCAGCTGGCCTGCCTGCTCCATCATGCTCCTGAGGAGGAGGGGACATGGGGGATGGCGGAAGGGGGAATGGGAGGAGGGGTGCGGAAAGGCTGCTTTCCTGTCTTTCTTGGCCATCTTTTCTGATGCCTCTTCCGCCTCTGGCGTTGACACACAGTCGCCCAGCTGGCCTGCCTGCTCCATCATGCTCCTGAGGAGGGAGGGACACGGGGGATGGCGGAAGGGGGAATGGGAGGAGGGGTGTGGAAAGGCTGCTTTCCTGTCTCTCTTGGCCATCTTTTCTGATGCCTCGTCCGCCTCTGGCGTTGACACACAGTCGCCCAGCTGGCCTGCCTGCTCCATCATGCTCCGGAGGAGGAGGGGACATGGGGGATGGCGGAAGGGGGAATGGGAGGAGGGGTGCGGAAAGGCTGCTTTCCTGTCTTTCTTGGCCATCTTTTCTGATGCCTCTTCCGCCTCTGGCGTTGACACACAGTCGCCCAGCTGGCCTGCCTGCTCCATCATGCTCCTGAGGAGGAGGGGACACGGGGGATGGCGGAAGGGGGAATGGGAGGAGGGGTGTGGAAAGGCTGCTTTCCTGTCTCTCTTGGCCATCTTTTCTGATGCCTCGTCCGCCTCTGGCGTTGACACACAATCGCCCAGCTGGCCTGCCTGCTCCATCATGCTCCTGAGGAGGAGGGGATACGGGGGCTGTCCTGCCTGCCCCCATCACGCACCTGGGGAGGAGGGGACATGGGGGGAGGGGGAAAAAGGGGAGGGGAAAATGGGAGCAAGGTGTTGTCACTGTCCGGGGAGGAGGAAGGCGGAGAGACTAATAGAGGAAAGAGTAAAGAGGGGGAACGGGGACAAGGTGTTGCCATCTTCGTATCCCCCTTTACCGAAGCACGACGTTGCAGTGGGTGCAAATTACAGCAGTATCGGGGTAGTTCGTCTGAAACGCCTCAGCAGCACACCCGCCCACCAGCACTGAACCAGCCAAGTGACAATACACTCACACCCACCTGAGCACAACATTGCAGTTGGCGCAGATTACAGCAGCCTCAGGGTGGTTGGTCTGCCTCTGGCGTTGATACACCATAGCACCGTATAACCCCACCAGCTCACCTCAGCTTTTGAGGCGCCTCAAAAGTAGGCCGTATAACCCCGCCAGCTCACCTGAGCACCACGTTGCAGTTGGCGCAGATGACAGCAGCCTCAGGGTGGTTTTTCTGAAATGCCTCGGCTGCAGGGTGCTCGTACTCTATGGCCCACCGCGTCTCACACGCCCCTGACCGTTGCAGCCCCTCCGACAGCCCGCCACACCCCGCAAATATATCCAACGTTCTCAGCACACCAGCACTGCCGTTACTGCTGTTTCCTGCCCCTTGCTGCCCGTCCTGCAGCTTCTCTGCCTTCTCCTGCTTCCCCTGCTGCTGCTTCGCCCCATCTGCAGCCTTGCTGATGGGTTCCTCTGGGTCCGCTGCGGCTGCTTTCCCCTTCCCCTTCGCCCGGGCTCTAGCTGCTGCTGCTGCCTCTGCTGCTGCTGCATCTGCGTCAGCATCGTCGTCGGTAGCAACACTCTTGCCCTTGCCCTTGCCCTTGTCCTTGACTGGTGATGCTGATGCTACTGCTGAAGAAGGGCCGAAGCGAATTCCAGGGGGCAACTGCAGGAGTGATAAAAAAAAACGGGGAAAGGGAGAAAGGGAGGCAGAAGAGTCAGGGAGAGAGAGAGACATGCCCACTGGGAAAATGCAGAGAGAGGGACCATCTGATACCTCCGATAGAATGTGTTGGCCGAAGTTAGAGGGGCAAGGACAAGGTTAGATAGGGGAGCAATACTAAAGCAGAGCAGAGGACAAATGATAGCAGAGGGGGGGACTGCGTTAGTTAGTGAGGGCATGATACAAATGCAGGTGACAAGAGAGGGGAGGGAGAATTGTACCGTTCGTGTTTTGAGTAGACTCAAAAAGGTCATGATACAAATGCAGGTGATAAGAGAGGGAAGGGAGAACTGTACCATCCGGACGGAGCCATCTTTGAGGAGGCGGTCGCAGAAGAAGACAAAGTCGCCGCCCATCAGCTCCTCCTCCAAACACCCCCCGATGTTAAAGCCCGAGTGATCCGCCTCTGTCCCTGCTGCTGCTGCGGTGGGTTTACCCCGCTGCACGCGGCACTTGCCGATCACGTCTGTCACGTCTACAGTGATTAGGGTTTCACTGTAGTACACCTGTTGTGGAGTGCAGTGATTGCGTTGCATGTAAGCAAAAAAAGAGGGAACAAGAGGTGGAATTAGAAAGCGAAAGGAAAGGGGAAAATGTATACATCAACATTCACTAAAAGATATGGAAGCGGTGAGCACCCACCTCTCGGATGTGTGCCGTATACACGATCTCATCACCCTCATTCGGCACACCTGACTTTTGAAGTCTCTCAACAGGCAACTTACCACAGATTAAGAAACACTGCAAGCAGGCTTTAAACACCCACCTCTCTGATAAGTGCCGTGTACGCGATCTCATCGCCCTCATTCGGCACATCTTCAGGGCGAAAGAACCTCCTCACCACCATCTTTCAGACGTCTCAAAACTCACTGCAAGTAGGCGAGAAGAGAAGCACTCACCTCTCGGATATGTGCCGTGTACGCGATCTCATCACCCTCATTCGGCACGTCTTCAGGGCGGAACAACCTCCTCACCACCATCGTTTCAGGCACGAGGTGACTTTTGAGTCGACTCAAACGAAGGTAAGGTGTGCAGCGCTCACCTCTCGAATGTGTGCCGTATACGCGATCTCATCACCCTCATTCGGCACGTCTTCAGGGCGGAAAAACCTCCTCACCACCATCTTTTCAGGCACCTCCTTCGCTCCACCGGTCGGGGCAACAAACTTTTCAATCTGCCCGATAGGCCACGCCCGCAGCCCAATGTTCCGCCCTCCTTTCGCTATCTTAGCCTTCTTCCCCTCGCTCTCCTCCCCCACTGCTGCCGGATGCAAGAACACAAAGTCCTGAACCCGAAACTCCTTCCCTAAATAAGCGAATCCCTCCTCCTCCACCTTCTCCTTCCCTACCTTCCCATCCCCAAGCCTCCGCACTTCCATCATCCTGTCCCTCTCCGTGTCCTCGTCACACGAGCAACACCTGCCCGTTCCGCTGCCCAGGCTCTTGGGCAGGTCGAAAAAGCCGCCGCGGGAGGGGTTGTAGAGGAGGCGGTAGAAGAAGGAGCGCTGCCCCGTCTCCTTGAAAAGCTTCTCCATTCGCTCCCTCTCCCTCTCGTGCTCCTCCATGTTCCTCAGCCTGTGCTCCGCCCCCCATGGCTGCTTTCGATGCGTCACTGCTGCAAGCTCACTGGACAATTCAACAGAATCGAACAGAAAGTGCATGTATTGGGTTGAGTTTTAAGTTGACTGAAAATGCGTCACCGCTGCGAGCTCACTGGGAAAGTAACAGACAGAATTGCACGGCAGCATGGGGACGGGTCTGCTAAAGAGCCAATTGAGAATACACTTTGCAAATGCCAAAATACACACACGAGCATGAAGACACGAAACTGGTGGACTTTGAGGGCGTGAAGTGAAGGACAACATGAAAAGACCTCAAATTCTCGAGTAAGCCTTACTGTATGGCAGTGAGGGGGAAGTCAACACAGTGCTCTGACACAAACAGCTCCCACTCATCCACCACATTTGATACTCGATACTCAATACCTGCACCTTACCGCATTTGCTGGCAACTTAGCCCACTTCCAGGCAACTTACCGTATAGCAGTGAGAGGGAAGTCAACGCAGTGCTCTGATACAAACAGCTCCCACTCATCCGCCGCATTCCCCAGCACCGTCTCACTCCCCCTCACCATCACCCGCCCATGCGCCTTCATCCCCTCGCCCCTCCTCCTCCGCCCCGCGCCACCCCCCACAGCCCCCTCATCCCACATATACTCCACCAACACTAGCTTCTCCTCCTCCTCCTTCCACCGCCCCTCGTCCCCGTCATCGTCACCCTCTGCCACAGCCGCCAGCACCACGATCCCTGCTTTGACCTCTAAACCCCACACTGAGGCTGCGGCGTATGCGGGATGGTCCTCCTCTGTGCGGCCTGTGCTTGCACCGATCCATGTCACGCCCTGAGTGGAGTCCTTTACTGCTCTCGGCTTGCTTCCAGCAGCAGCCTCCTTTGCCTTCTCCGCCCCACCAGCAGCAGCTGCTTTTCCCTTATCCGCCACACCAGCCTCCTTATCTGCTTCTGCGCGCTTCGTTTTCATCCCCTTTGCTTTGACCCCCTTTGTTTGACTCGCACCTGCTACCTCCTCCACCTCCTCCTCATCCTCACTATCCCCATCCTTCAACTCCCCTCCTTCCTCCTCATCCTCCACCTCCTCACCCTCCACCTTCCCATTCTCCTCTCCCTCACTTCCCCCTTTACCCGCCCCCACCTCATCCCGCTTCAATCCGAACCGTTCATAATACTCCTTCCAGATCCTGTGGACCAGCTGAGTCGTGGTCGCACGCATGGGCTTCCTCTTACTAGCATCCGGCCTTAAAGCCGCAGCAGGATTGGCGTTTCTCGCACTCCCGCCGTCACCCCCACCACGCCCATTGCTACCTCTGCTTGTGACAATCATAGCAGCCTTTTTCTTACTCACTTTTAGCTCTGTATGCGATCGCATCTCCATCTTTTCTCGCAGCGTGCTTATAAAGGGGCTCCGGCGGATCGTCTCGACTGGATACTCCCTAAACTGCTGCAGGATAATATTCCCGTGCACCACTAAAAACCGTTCCATCTCAGCAAAACACTTAGCTAAGTCCCCACGCGCCGGCACCTTGCCACTCTTCTGCTGCTTCTCCGCCACCCGCTCCTGCGCCAGCTTTGTTACCACGTCCAGAAAAGACAAGCGTGCCGCCCGGGACTCGCCACTCAGCATCTCAATGACTCGGATTGCCAGCCTGGCTGTCCGCAGAACCGGGCGGTACCAGGGAACATAGGCGGCGCAGGGGCGTCCGAGCCTGTACCATGCCCCGTCGGTTCGAATGGTGACAAAAAGCATCCCAGCCCCAAACTCAATCATCCACTCCTTGATCGCACTCAGATACACCCGGATACCACCACCATCACCATCTGCTCCTGCAGGATTAGATCCTGACCCAGATCCACCCCCTGAAGCACCTGAACCACCTGCAGAACCACCTGAAGCACCACCTAAAGAACCACCAGCACCGTCACCCCGAGTAGTGCCAGCGGATTCGACAGTAGGGTCATCCAGGCTGAAGCCACTGCCATCATCCTCCATCATAACGCCAGAGCCGAACACGAGCGAGTCGGCGGCAACCCCCGGCAGCATGGGCAGCAGCTCGAGAGGCACGAAGCGCAGCTGGTCGTCGTAGAGTGCCCAGTCGTCCAGGCGACGCCGAGGGAGGTCGTCGGGGTGCAATGGAGCAGCAGCATCGTCGAATAACAGGAACTCATCTGTTTCCTCATCCACGCTCTGGGGGAGTGGGTGCTTTAGAATTCTAAGATTTGTTTTTGAGAATTCTCAGATTGTTTTTGAGAATTCTAAGATTGTTCTTTAGAATTCTAAGATTTGCTTTTGAGAATTCTCAGATTGTTTTTGAGAATTCTCAGATTGTTTTTGAGAATTCTCAGATTGTTTTTGAGAATTCTCAGATTGTTTTTTAGAATTCTCATATTGTTTTTTAGAATTCTCAGATTGCTTTTGAGAATTCTAAGATTGGTTTTGAGAATTCTACAGCGGCTGGGGGCTTGCTTTCACCATGTCGTCAGGCGAGTTGGTCAGCCTTGCGCCTCATCTCACTATCATCCGGGGCCAGACGCACCACAAGCATACCTTCATCTAGCCACCAACGCACCTTCCATGTCATCAGGGGAATTAGGGTCCGCCATGCGTCTCATCTCATCATCATCTGGTGCCAGGCGCACCACCAGGAACACACGAGGGGCAGGCAGGCACACATTGATGGCGCACATGTTCTATCCTCAACGCACCTTCCATGTCCTCTGAGGAATTTGGATCCGCCATGCGGCGCATCTCATCATCATCTGGCGCCAGGCGCACCACCAGGAACACGTGACCGCGGTCAGTGAGTCTCACTGCCACTGCCATGAGATTCGCGAGGATCTGATGAAAGGGTGAGGAGGGAGTGCAGGGAGTGGAGAGCGGTGGAGAGAGATCGAGACGGATGGAGAAGGCCTGCCATCTCATCACCATCCGGCGCCAGGCGCACCACCAGGAACACGTGACCGCGGTCGGTGAGTTGTACGGCCACTGCCATGAGATTGGCAAGAATCTGAATGGGGCGAGAGGGGTTTAGGAAGATTGAGAGGGGTTTAGGAAGATTGAGAGGGGTTTAGGAAGATTGAGAGGGGTTTAGGAAGATTGAGAGGGTTGGGTAGAGTGGTTTGGGGAGGGGAGAGAGAAAGAGAATAACACACGTAAGGTGAGAAGATGGGAGATCCATTGCCGTGTCACAGGTGAGAAACAGACAACCCTACCAGTGGCACAGTCGGCGAGTCCGATTATCCTATAGCACGGTCTGAAAGCCCTGTGGCGAACCCACCCACCCATAGAAGCACCATTCCCATCCCACCACAGCCTAAGGGGATCCCCCACCACCTGGCGCAGCCTGAGGGGATCCCCCACCACAACAGTGGGCACCAAGTCCATAACAAGCGCTGCCAGCTCCACGCCCTTCTCCCTCGCCTCTCACCACCAGTGCCCTGCCTGGCTCTCAAACCCACCTGGCGCAGCCTGAGCGGGTCCCCCACAACCACGGTAGGAACAGAGTCCATAACAAGTGCTGCCAGCTCCACGCCTTTCTCCCTCGCCTCGCCCAGCACCACCTCGTCCACCACACACCGCAGGTCAAACACGGCGCTCTCTAGACCCAATGCAGCCAACCCAGCACCACCCATAACGCACCTGAGCCAGCACCACTCTCAAAGAGAGCGGAGAGGAGGGCTGTGAGAGCGCACAGAGCACAGAGCACAGAGCACAGAGCACAGAGCACAGAGCACAGAGCACAGAGCACAGAGCACAGAGCACAGAGCACAGAGCACAGAGCACAGAGCACAGAGCACAGAGCACAGAGCACAGAGCACAGAGCACAGAGCACAGAGCACAGAGCACAGAGCACAGAGCACAGAGCACAGAGCACAGAGCACAGAGCACAGAGCACAGAGCACAGAGCACAGAGCACAGAGCACAGAGCACAGAGCACAGAGCACAGAGCACAGAGCACAGAGCACAGAGCATCTCACCTGGCGCAGCCTGAGGGGATCCCCCACAGCCACAGTGGGCACCGAATCCATAACAAGCGCTGCCAGCTCCACGCCTTTCTCCCTCGCCTCGCCCGCCACCAGCAGCACCACCTCGTCCACCACACACCGCAGGTCAAACACGGCGCTCTCTAGACCCAGTCGCACCACGCTCCCTCTCTCCACCGCCCCTGCCCTGCCTCCCCCTCCCCCTCCCCCTCCCCCTCTTTCCCCCCGGAAAATTGCGGCGGCGGCTGAAGAGGCAGCGGCGGAGGAGGCGGCGGCGATCCGACGGTTCTCGATGCGCCAGCTGTCGACGACATTGTTGGCGACGTGGATGACGTGGCGCGCCGTGGCCTGGATGGCTGCCAGCATGTCGCGCTGCGATTCGTCGAGTGAGGAGGAGAGGAGCAGCTGCAGCAAACCCAGGACGCCTGGAAAGAGGGAGAGGGAGAAAGAGAGTGAGTGTGAAAGAGCGAGTTTGTGTGGGGAGTGAGGGAAGAGGAAAGTGAAGAGGAGGGAGAGGAGCAGACCCAGGACGATATGTTGATTTTACTTTTGAGAATTCTCAAAAGCAGACCCAGAAGGACGCCTGAATAGAGGGAGAGAGAGGGAGAGGGGGAAGAGGAGGGAGGGAGAGGGAGAGGGAGAGGGAGAGCGAGTGTGTGCGTGTGAGCTAGAGAGGGAAAGAGAGGAGGAGAGGAGAGGCTGACGCTGACGCTTTGATCTGATCTGATTTGATATGATATGATACGATCTGATCTAATACGTGGCGAGTGTCTTGTCAACTTTACTCTTAACTTTACTTTTACATGCTGTTCCGGAAAACGGGCACCAGGTCAGCTTTCCCGGAGCTGACTCTTACGTCGGTGGTTTTACATCAGGTCTGGTTGGAGAGATGCGAAGCTGTTTTTCGAGGGCAGAAGTTTCGGTTGCAAAGAGTTCTGTGGAGGGCGGAGTCCGCTTTCAGGCTACACGCAAGGATCTACATGCGCAAGATGGGGGCAGCTCGTAAGAAACGGGTGCAAGAAAACTTCGCGGAGGAGAAGCGGATGCTGAGCAGAATCAAGATGGATGGCAAAGGGTGGACATGGACAAGTGCTTTTGCGGCACTCTGGTCCAAGAAGAGGGCATGCAGCAACTCGCCTTAGACAACTCACCTGGAACAGTAGCATGTTCTACTGTTGCCTCACGCACGGTTACGACCGTTTGATGGTGTATGCTTATGTTTTGGTATATACCTATCAATACCAAAAAAAAAACAAACAAACAAACAAACAAACAAACAAAGCCACTTTTACCGCCTCTAAGTGCACCACTTACCATTAAAAGCCGCTCTTATTCAGTGACATTCCTACTTACCTCTGAGTGGAGCTCCTATCTCATCTCATACACCACAATGCCCAAGATAAAGGATTTTTTAGTCGACTCGACAAGGTGACTTTTGAATCGACTCAAAAGTCATCTCCTGCACCAGAATCCCCAAGATAAAGGATAATCTAATCTAATCTAATTTCCTCGACAATCATTCTTACTCACCTCTAAGTGCCGCTCTTACCTCTAAGTGCCGCTCTTATCTCATGCACCAGAATCCCCAAAAGCGAGCTTCGCCCCACTGATACCGCCAGCTTGCTGCCAGCTGTCACCACCGCCCTTCCGTCCGAACCTCCCTCCGAACCTCCTTCCGAACCTGACACCCCTCCAAACCCCTCCGCACCCCTCCCCCGTCCGCTTCCGCCCTCTTCCCCCTCCGCCCCGCCATCCCCCAGCCGTCCCCCGCGCCCGCCCCCTCCCCCTTCTAATGCGCGAAGGCGCTCCTCCAGTGCGTTAAGTTCCGCCAATCCGCTCCCCAATGCGCGCAGAGCGCAAATCATGAACCCTAGCACGGCCGCCGCCGCTGCTAGCGGGGACCACCGCCACGTCAGCACGTCCACGGCTGGGTGCCACGGGACAGGACACGTGGCATTAGTCGATCGCGTCGCGTTCGCCAGTTCGCTTCCGTTAGCAGCAGCGGAAATCGCGGAGTCGTCTATTTTTTCCGCATTGGCGGAAGGCGGGAATTTGCACGGGGCGAGGGGGTCCTTATGCGCGGGGAGGGTTGCGCGGAGAACACTGAACGCGAGAATCAGCGCTACGAGGTACGAGCCAGTCAGAGCAAGCCACGTCAGCCAAGGCAGCCGCACCGCGCTGGGGCTGGAATTCTTGCCACGTGTCGCTGCATCACTGGCGTCTAACCCGCGCTTCCCATTGGACGGTTCCTCATCCCGGGCCACTCTCGCGCGCTGTTTATTCCCCTTATCCCCGTCTACTATCTCGTTCCCGTTACTCCCGTCGTCACTCCCGCTGTCACTTCTGCTGTCTTCCGCGTCACTCTCCGCATCGCGACTCGCCTCCGTTTCCCCGTCGCTGCTTTCCGCCGATTCCTCCGCCTCCTCCACGCGCTTTTCCGCAGGCGCCTTCCGCCCCCGCCACATGTTGCCAATGCGCGCCAAACACCGCGTCAGCTATAATATGACTAGGTTAGTGCGGGAATACCTCCACTATCGCGTCGAACCAAGGAGAGCAGTTAGGCGGGCTCTCACCGGCCGTATTGACGGCTAGCCGGCAGGAGTGAACGGAATGGAATGGTTGGTGGTACGTTTTGGTCTCGTCTCGTGTTTTCTTACATACCCGTTTTCCTCCGCCTTGGAATTACACAGCGGTAGATCTCATAAAAAATCTTCTGCACTCACATCTTCTTCTGGTTGATTGGAACCTCCTTTTCAAGTTGTACTAAGCTCGTTTCATGACCCTGTCTCTTTGATGTTTATCTTTTTATAATTTATGCCCATTTTGTTAACAATCCCGTACACATTTCCAAGAACCTTAGTGATAAATGTAATAATGCATTATAAATCCTTTTATTACACAAACCCCCCACACCGAAGTACACTGCACTCCCCCAACCGCCTTAACAATGTCATTATAATTTCCTTGCTGCACCCCCTCCTCCCTTCTGACTCCATCCAGAGTCCCTCCTGCTCATCTTGGCACCATTTTCCATTTCTTGACTCCATCACGTCACCAAATTCAGCACTCTAGAAGCACCCCTGTGTCAAATGTTGTAGCCTATAGTGAGGTTTGTCTTAGGGGGTACAAAACTTAGGGTTAGCTATATGTACCCCAACCAACATCAATGCATCATCCATTTCTCATTCTGACATGGTATCAGAGCGGTTAGGATCCTGTGGGATCCCGTTTCTCCGTTCTCCGATCGTACCACCCGAGCCTGATCCTAGCTCTCGTTTCGCCCGTCTTGCCCGAGCCTAGTGCCGGCCCGATCTAGTCCCGTTCGTTCGTTACCGCTCGTTCTTCCTCCCGATCTAGCGTAGCCCGATCTAGCGTACCGCTGCAGGTCGCGTTGCGCTTTCCCCCCCTGATGCCCGTCGAGGCGCGCTTCCCCCCCGCTGCCGTCGAACCGCGCTTCCCCCCCCCCCCCCCCCCCCCCCCCCCCCCCCCCCCGCGCTGCCCGTCGAACCGAGCTTCCCCCCGCTGCCCGTCGACCCGCGCTTCCCCCCGCTGCCCGTCGACCCGCGCTTCCCCCCGCTGCCCGTCGACCCGCGCTTCCCCCCGCTGCCCGTCGACCCGCGCTTCCCCCCGCTGCCCGTCGACCCGCGCTTCCCCCCGCTGCCCGTCGACCCGCGCTTCCCCCCGCTGCCCGTCGACCCGCGCTTCCCCCCGCTGCCTGTCGACCCGCGTTTCCCCCTGCTCGCGCCCTAGCCCGTCGCCCAGGCCCGCGCCCCAGCCCGTCGCCCTGGCCCGGCGCCTTTGCCCTACCCGCCCGCGCGCTCCTGCCCTAGCCCGCGCGCTCCTACCCTAGACGCCCGCCACACCTGACCTACCCGCCCGCTCTTGCCCGCTCTTCCTGCCCGTTCCCCCTTGCCGCTGCACCCTGCTTTCCCTGCCAATTCCGTTTGCACACTATGGCGACCCCTCGCGTCCTTCGTTTCGACGCTGACGGTAGACCTCTTGATTTTTCCGTCTGGCTTCTTCGTGCTCGCCGTCTGTTAGAGAGTCAGGTCCAGGCAGGCGAGACCCTCTGGGCGCACGCTACTGGTGCCCTACCTGCGCCCTCCGACCCTACGCCTTTAGGACCTGCCCCTGACGACGCCGCTAGAGCCCGCTTTGCCACTCAGCGAGCTGACCAGACGGCTTGGAAGTCACGTGACGCTGCGGCCTGCATCGCGCTCAGCAGCCTCCTCCCTGAGTCTGAGGAGGTTTACTTCACTCAGGTTCGCACCGCTGCTGAGTACCTCACTGCGATTAAGGCCCGCTACTCTACTCCCGCTGCTGTCTCTCTTGGCCGCCTGTTCCTCCCGTTCCTGTTTCCTGACCTAGCGTCTTTTGAGCGCTCTGCTGACTTGATCGCTCACCTCCGCTCGCTCGACGCTAGTTACCGCGCTGCTTGCACTGAGGCACAGCTTGCACTGCTTCCTCCCCCTATGGCGATTACTATCTATTTCATCGCCACTAGCCTCCCTGACCGCCTTGCCTCCGTTCGCGACGCGCTTCTGCTGAAGCACCCTAGTGAGCTCACCGTCGAGGTCCTTGAGTCTGCACTCAAGGACGTCGAGAGCAACCTTCGCTCGGTAGCCGCTGCCTCTGGTGCTGTGCCCCCCCCCACTCTTCCACGGGTGCACAGTCCCGCAGTTACCCACCTTTACTGCCTCACTTGCCACTGCCGCTACTGACGCGACTGCAGCTGCTGTTACGACTGCGTCGCGGTCCCGCGGTAGGAGTGGCAAGAAAGGCGGTTCTGGTGGTGGTAGTGGAGGTGGAGGCGGAGGTAGTGGAGGTGGCGTTGCGCCTGGCGGCGGTGGAGGTTCAGGGCCTGGAGAGGCGCCTCGTGCAGTGACTGGTGACTCCACTGCGCCTGCTGGTGGTGGCGACGCCCGAGTTCGTCAGTCGCCTCCTGTACTTCCTGCCCCGGTTGGTGGAGCAGCGGCGTGGTACCAGGCTCAGCGTCAGCAGCAGCTTCTGCAGCACCAGCAGCCCCTCTCCTCCCAGCAGCCTCAGCAGCAGCAGCGGCAGCAGCTGGCTCCAGGGTCGGGGCTGCGTCAGACCCAGCGCGGTGCTGCTTACACTCCCTGCACCTACCAGGTTCTGACAGGCACTCGTCGTGGCCACCCTTGTGGCCGGTTTCACCCCCCTGGTCAGTGCTTTGCTCAGCTCACTGACACGGTTCGTTTGGTCTACGGGGTTGGTGCTCCTGCCCCTGACTGGCTGCCTCTTGTTCAGCGTTACGGCTCCGCTCTGTGGGGCATGTCTGCTGAGCAGTTAGTTGATCTGATTGGTAGTCCCCATGCTATGTATGCTGTTGTTGACTCTAGTGTTTCTGACTCTGTTTACTCTGGTGTTGTTAGCTTAGGTGCTAGCCTTGCTCAGTTGCCTGTTGCTAGTGTAGGTTCTTGTGTAGACTCTAGTCCAGCGGCTACCTCAGAGGACGGTTCGCTGTCGTTCACGCTGGACTCTGGAGCCTCTCACTGCTTCTTTCGTGACAGCACGACACTTACGCCTCTTCCTGCGCCTGTTTCTGTGGCGCTGGCTGATCCCACTTCGGGACCAGTCACCGCGCGTCACACTACCACCTTGCCGTGTCCGGCTGCTCCTTCTGGGTCTCTCACTGGGTTTCACGTCCCCTCGTTCTCCCGGAACTTGGTGGGCGTGCGACCCCTCGTGAGTCAGCACGTGGGTGTGTGGTTTGAGCCTTCTGGAGAGACTGCGGTGTGTGTTGACGGGGACTCTTACCAGCCTCTCGCCACTTTTGCTGCTGAGCCGGGCTCCGGTCTCTACACTCTTCACACTGGCCCGCGCGCTCAGCAGCGACTGCAGCAGCAGCAGCAGCCGCAGCAGCAGCAGCAGCAGCAGCCGCAGCCGCAGCCACAGCCGCCCCTCCTGCCCCCGGCCCCTGTTTTGCCCCCCGTTCGAGTCCTCGCGTCTCACCAGGTTGCTCCGTCCCCCCAGGTAGCTGTGTCTTGTCAGGTTCCTCCGTCTAGTCCGGTCGCTGCGTCGTGCTCCTGTCGGTCGCTTGCCCACCCCACCGTTTTGTGGCACCACCGGCTGGGGCACCCTTCTCCTCCTCGTCTGCGCACTATGTCTCGTCAGCGTCTTGTCTTAGGTCTCCCGCGTGTCTTGCCGTCGCTGCCGCCGTCCCTTGCACCACCGTGCGGTCCTTGCGTCGAGGGTAGGCTGCGCGCCACCCCTCACTCCTCCTCCCTTCGTCCGGCCACCGAGCCTTTTGAGACGCTGCACTTGGACGTCTGGGGCCCCTCTCCTCGCCCTGGCCCTGAGCGTGAGCGTTTCTTTTTGGTGGTCGTTGACGACTACTCCCGCTACACCACAGTGTTCCCCCTGGCGAGGAAGTCTGAGGTGACTTCTACGCTGATCAGGTGGTTGCTTACCACCCAGGACACTCGTGGTCGTCGTGTCAGCTGTCTCCACTCCGACCGCGGGGGCGAGTTTCGCTCCGGCATTCTCGCTGGATTCTGTCGCGAACAGGGCATTCGTCAGTCCTGGACGCTTCGCAGCAGAATGGGGTTGCTGAGCGTCGCATAGGCCTGGTCATGGAGATTGCCTGGACCTCCTTGACTCACGCCCGTGCCCCCCATTTCCTGTGGCCATACGCGGTCAGGTACGCCGCGCACCAGCTGAACCTCTGGCCACGCGTCTCTCGGCCGGAGGCTTCACCGACCAGTCTTTGGACAGGGTCCCCTGGTGTCGCGTCGAGGTTTCGTGTCTGGGGGTGCTTGGCTCTTGTCCGCGACACCTCCGCGGACAAGCTCTCGCCTCGCGCCGTTCCTTGTGTCTTCCTTGGTTTCCTTGAGGACTCCTCTGACTTCACCTTTTACCACCCTCCCTCTCACCGGTTCTTTGACTCCCGTGACGTCCGTTTCGAGGAGTCCACCCCCTACTACGTCAGGTACCCCAGTCGAGGTCTCCCGGTCCCTCCCCCCCCTCTCTTCCTGACCGCCGCTCCCCCGCCTGCTCCCCCGGTACAGCCTCCCCCCCTGGTCCAGCCCCGTCTGGTGTGTCTCAGGCTAGCCCTCCCCCTTCGGTAGCCCCCCCTGTACAGCCTCCCTCCCCACAGTCTTCCTCGCCGCCTCCTGCAGGTGCTCCCTCTCGGGAGGTTGGTCCTGCGACTGTCCCTGTACAGGTCTCTGGTTCTGGGGGTGCTGGAGTTGGAGCTGAGCCGCGGGTTGCAGAGGACTCTTGTCTTCCGGGGGCTGGTACTGGTCGTGCGGAGTCTGGGGGTGCTGGTGCGGAGTCTGGGGGTGCTGCGTCTGGGGGTGAGGGTGTCCCTTCGGTTTCTGGAGAGCCTGGGTCTGGAGCTGGTGTTGGTGCTGCCTCTGGGGGTGGTGTGCTTGGTGCTTCGGAGGTCGACTCTGGGGCTGCCGCTGCCCCGGACACTACTCCTTCCCCCCACCCCTACCCGACCAGGTTCCAGGCTCGTGTTCGCCGTGCTCGTGAGGAGCAGCTGGAGTTGGAGAGAGAGGAGAGAGAGTTGCAGCGGCTCGAGGAGCAGGAGCGACAGCAGCAGGAGCAGCAGCAGGAGCAGCAGCAGGGGCAGCAGCCGCTGGAGCAGCAGCAGCCGCAGCAGCCGCAGCAGCAGCAGCAGCAGCTGCTGCCGTCTCCTCCTCCTGTCTCGGGTCTTCGGACCCTTGGTCTCCCCTCTCCCTCTCCTTCCTCCTCCCCCTCTCCTCCCGTCTCTGGTCCTCCGCTTCCTCCTCCTGACCCCTCTCCCGCTGTTTTCCCTCGTTCTCAGTCTTCGTTGTCTCCTCCTCCTTCTCAGACTTGGGCCTCTCGTCGCTCCCCTCGTGCTCGTCCCTCGTTGCCTGTCTCCTTCACTGACCTTCGTACAGCCTTCCTTTGTTCTCGTCCACCTCGTCCGTCTCCGTCTGTGCTTCCGTCTCCTCCTGAGTCGGCCCTCACTGCGTCGCTTCCTACTCCTATCACTGACTACTACCGCACGTACCGTCCTGTTCTCTCTCGTGTTCTCGCCTCTCTTGTTACCCACCCTCGTGCCTCTGTGTCCTCTGTGTCCGCTCTTACTGCCGCAGTCACTGAGTTTGCCTCTACCCGCCGCCTTGACTTCGCCACCGCTCTTGTGGCTGCTCCTCCTTCCAGTCCTCTGGCCGTCGGGGGTGTGTCTGCCCTTGGCTGTGACGCCCTAGAGGACAGGCAGTTTGAGCTAGAGTTCCTGGCGGCCGCTTCCCCTCATCTCTGTGCCATGCTCCTCGCCCCTGAGGGTGACCCCGACGCCCTTGACATTCCGACTCCTCGCACTTACGCTGAGGCAGTGTCAGGGCCTTGGGCCTCTCAGTGGAGAGCTGCCATGGACGCAGAGATGGCCTCCTACAGATCCACAGGCACCTACGTCGATGAGGTTCCCCCTCCGGGGGCGAACGTAGTCGACGGCATGTGGATCTACAGGGTGAAGCGGCCACCGGGATCTCCTCCGGTCTTCAAGGCGCGCTACGTGGCTAGAGGTTTCAGTCAGCGCGAGGGAGTTGACTTCTTTCAGACCTTCGCGCCCACCCCGAAGATGACCACTCTTCGGGTGTTACTACACGTAGCAGCACAGAGAGACTACGAGTTACACTCTCTCGACTTCTCTACTGCTTTCCTTCAGGGCAGTCTTCACGAGGAGGTCTGGTTGCGTCGTCCCTCTGCCTTCACTGGCTCTTTCCCTCCTAGGACCCAGTGGAGGCTGAGGCGACCGGTTTACGGTCTTCGTCAGGCTCCTCGTGAGTGGCACGACACCCTGCGTTCTACCCTGTCTGACCTTGGGTTCCAGCCGTCTTCTGCTGACCCGTCGCTGTTCGTTCGTCGTGGCCCCACACCTTTCTTTGTTCTGGTCTACGTTGACGACCTTGTTTTCGCCACCCCTGACAGGGTTGCTTTGGCACACGTGAAGTCCGAACTGCAGAAGAGACACACCTGCACTGATCAGCTGCGCCACTACCTTGGCCTGCAGATCACCAGGGACAGAGCTGCTCGCACCATTACACTTTCACAGTCACACATGGTGCAGCAGGTCCTTCAGCGGTTCGGGCTTCAGCACTCCACAGTACAGCGCACACCTCTTGCTGTTGACCACAGACTCACTGGACCCTTTCCTGACGAGCCGTTCGAGCCTAGTGGTCCCTACGCAGAGCTTGTGGGTTGCCTCATGTACCTGATGACTTGTACTCGCCCGGACCTCGCCTTCCCTCTCAGCATCCTTGCACGCTTTGTTGCGCCAGGGAGACACCGTCCTGTTCACTGGACAGCAGCTGTGAGGGTGGCGAAGTACCTAGCGACGACATCAGGCGTGGGGCTAGTTCTTGGAGGGCAGCAGTCTGTCGTACTTACTGGTCACTGTGACTCCTCTTACGCTGACGACGCTGAGACTCACAGGTCTACTCAGGGGTACTGTTTCAGCCTGGGTTCTGGAGCTGTTTCCTGGCGGTCCACGCGCTCCTCTTCGGTCTCGACCTCTACAGCTGAGGCTGAGATCTACGCTGGTGCCATGGCAGCACAGGAGCTGCGTTGGTTGACCTTCTTGCTCACCGACCTTGGTGAGCGGCCGAGCTCTGCACCGACCTTGTTCACTGACAACAAGGCGTCTATTCTCCTTTGTCGAGAGCCACGACTGGAGAGCAGAGTGAAGCACATTCACGTCAGGTACTTTCTTCTGCGAGAGTTGCAGAGACGTGGACAGGCTCGCTTTGAGTTTGTGGAGTCCGAGGCCAACACTGCAGACATCTTCACCAAGGCGCTTCCGCCTTGTGACCACCAGAGGTGCTGTGTGCAGTTAGGCCTTGTTGACACTGGTTCTCGTGTTGCTTAGACTTGAGTGTACTGTTTACTTTGCTTTCTATATATCTCTGTTACTTCTTGGACTGGCCTTGTGGCCACTGTTGTTTGTGCTCAGACTGTGTGGCGACGTTGTGATCCACCCTGAGCTTCGTTTCTTGGACTGGTCTTGTGACCGTACTCGTTTGGTTCTGCTAGACACCCCTCACTTAGGCTATGGGGGTGTGTCAAATGTTGTAGCCTATAGTGAGGTTTGTCTTAGGGGGTACAAAACTTAGGGTTAGCTATATGTACCCCAACCAACATCAATGCATCATCCATTTCTCATTCTGACACCCTGGTCCTGGGGAGTCCCGGCGTTCATGCACACGCCATACCTCTTCGGGTTAATAGCAGCGTCAATAAGGCGCTGCCAGTACATCTGCCCGGGGATAGTCCCATCGGCCTTGGGGTTGCGGTATGTGGGCTAGTGGCGGTTGAAGAAGCACTGCTGCGCGCGGCAGTAGGGGCATCCGGGACAGGTGGCATCCTCAGTGCAGTTGAATCCGTAGACGGGGTCGGGCTGGGTGAAACGGCACGTCTCTGGTGTGGGGAGGAGGCGGAAACGAGAAAAGAAGCAAAGGTCAGGAAAAGAAGACAGGGGGAGAGAATAAGCGGTGCAAGGGCAGAGCGGCAAGAACTAGTGGGGTGCTAAAGGGTCTGTGATGGTTAGCTGGGTGTGCACAGGTGTGCGGAGGGATTGTGAACGTACTGAAGCCGGTGGCCCAGTCATCGACGCCCGGCCACTGCAGGTTGTTGTTGATGGTTGCGGTGTTCGGGCCAACAGGGAGTCGGACCGCGTCACGATTCGCGAGGCAGTTGTTGCAACACAACGCGATGCGATGTGGTGCATGCGACGGGTCGAGAGATTAGGTTGGTTGTTGGAAAGGGAAGGAGAGAGAGAAGGGCGAGACATGTTTGCCAGAGGCGAGGCTGAGAAAGGCAAGTCTAGACGACGGTGGGATGAGGAGATGAGATGACAGTTACAAAGCTGATTTTCATGATTGTACCAGGGGCAGCATATGCAGAGTCAAACATGTTCGCCGAGCACTGGAACGAGACTGCTAGTGACGGGAGAAGGGTTGTGCAAGATGTTAGCAAAGGCTGTGTTATCCTGGATTTTGCGTCAGTTGAAAACTATATTTGTTATTATATTTATGTATCTCAAATCGAAGGCATGTAGTTCATATAATTCACTCGTTGTAGACTCGCCCGCATCTCACGGTGATTCAAGCAGTTTTTCGGGCGTAAACTATGAGAGTCAAGTATTTTTCTGGGTGATGTGCAAAAAGTGGCGGTTGCTGAAGGGTACATGGTTCACGTAAAACTCAGAGTCCACCGAAGGACAAACGGAATTCCGATTTGAAATACCCTACTTAAAACCAGACTCTCGGCGCAGATTGAATTCGATCCTTACTTGCAACCGAGATTCGTGGTCTTCGGTGAGGTCACATCCCCGTAGTTAGCGCTTTCTTTTCCAGTTCCCAGTTCCTGTAACCACTACTGAAACTGGAAACGGGATCTCATTCCCACAGGTCTCAGCTCGGGCAGTCCGGGTGAAAGAGAAATGTGTGCGGCTGGCGAAACACCACGGCTTGTGAACGCGATCAATTTTGCTCATTACCGTTTGCGATTCAAGCAAACCGATTCGTATCGATAGTTAACGCACTAGAAGCGTGCGTAACACACCACACCACCCAAGATCCACCTCGTAATCAAGCGATTCATGCAAATGAATTATGGTTGGAACGCGTTTCAACAAGCTCCTCGATGGTGATTCGCTGAGGAGTGCGATTCGCTGGTGACTGCGCGGAGGATGAGAAATTCCGTTCCAGCCACTTCACTTCACATCCACCACAATCCGCCCTCACACCATACAAATACCCACGCGTTTTTCCTTCCCAACACCAGTCCCACATTCGAAGCTCTTGATTCACTCGCCTTCAGCTCCCTGCCTCCTTTTCACTAGCTACTGGTAGTAATCATGGCGCGCTTGCTTACTGCTCTCGCTCTCCTGCTTGCCTTCGCCGTCACTCTCGGATCATTCGCTTCTACTGCTGCTGCTCGATCTGTTAGGCTTCCTGGCAATGGGGTGAATGCCGATGGTAAGTTGCAGACCTGTGCGATGGCCAAGTCGGTGACCCGTGTGATGGCATGTCGCAGACCCGCGATGGCACGTCGCAGACACGTGCGATGGCACGTCGCAGATCCGTGCGAAAATAAGTCGCATATCCGAGCGATGGTGGCGCGCATCTCAAGAACCCATGCTGAGCAAGTCCTCAATGCGTTGCTTTAAGAAGCGTGAACGACAATGAAAGGCACACGCGTCGTACCTGCACTGCCACCTCTCTGAACTTCCCCCACCTCCCCCATCCCCCCCTTCTCATCGTGTCAAGCGGCACCGTTACTGCTAAACCCTGCACCACTCCTGCGACTTGTACTTCAGCCATTCACTCCCTCTTAAGAGAGACTCCGAGTCGCTCTGCACGGGCCATCGCTTCTCCCTCTGCACACCCCTGCATCCGACCAAGCCTCACGACTCCACCCTCCGACCATGCCTCACGTCCCTACGCAGCGAGAAAAAGGTGCCACTCATTCCCTTTCCTCCACGGCCCTCACCTCTTCCCCCTGTCTCTTCCTCCCCTGCGCGAATCTATGTGTCGGCTTGGCGTGGCGGCAGGTGCGTCGGGAGCGGTAGAAACTGCCGGCGGCGTCATCACGGCGGAGAGCGCGCCGAGTTTTGCTGAACCCAGCGCGGGGGACGAGCAGGGTCGCCGCAAACTCCAGACGACTAGTAAGAATGATCAAGCCAAGCCCCCACATGTTTTGTTCCTGCGGTTATTTTTGTTTTCGGTTCTTTCCATTATTTTCTGCTGTTACTGTATACAAGGAGCTGGTGATTCCGTGCTGCCCATAAGGCTGGGCAGCACTGACAAATTATGACTGAATGGTTGTAAGAGGCTAGTGAAGCAGGGTGCGCCCTAAAGCAACTCATATATGAGGGGAATTTCGGCCATACATCTGCTCCTGCCTCCCTTGATGTCGCTCATTCTCATGCGGCCGTCCCCAAAGTGAAGAAGTCGACTCAGCAGTCTCCCCTTTGCTCTCACCCTTTTGCAGGATCGGATTGCGATGACGCGATTAGACGGAATTGCGACGAGAATCAGTTTCTTTTCTGGAAATGGGGAAAGAGCGCAAAGGCTAAGAAGGACTGCGAGGATCGCCGTGCGGCAACACTTGCAGATTGCAAGAAATGGGGCTACTGGTGAGTGGGAGATGCATGTTTGTGCCTGGGCTATGCTTGTTGGTGCCTGGGCTATGCTTGTTGCCTGGGCTGTGCTTGTTGGTGAGAGGGCATTTCGTGTTGGTGAGGGCAATAATATTATTATGATTATGACTGACTTGTTCCGTCGTCTCCCCACCATGTCCATCTCTCTGCAGATCCACCAGCTGCGGCTAAGAGCAGCGCCTCGCAACACCTGGCAAGTCCGCTGTCTAGACTGGGAGCGTGTAACACTGGTGGCGGGGGGAAGATGAGGAGCCTTCTGCTTGTTGCGTTGGATGTTACTAGCTTTGTGATCATGTGGGTGTGGGATTGTGGGTATTTTTTATTCTTGTAGGTGGGTGATTGGGTGCCTGGATGTCGATCAGTAACACAGTATCGGTAATTGTAACAACTCTAGTTCACCTCGTATGACTCCTTGAACCCTTGTGCGGAATGATCTGTTGAGCAGCTACCCATACGTGCATACGTTGTATCACATGGTAGCCTCAAACTTGAGCACTTCTCGCCGGCGATTCGGCAACTTCGTCAACGGTGAGACTATTTCACAAGAGCTAGTTAAAGCAAGGGTGCACTTTGGGGGGGTGGAGGCAAAGGTTTATCACTTGCCTCCACGTGGTTACCCTGTTTGTGTTGGGAGTTCGGCGAATGCACAAGTTCAGTGTTGCGGACTTGGCGGATTGTTTCTCCCCTGTCGTCAATTGCGGCGGGCCAACTGAGAGTTGGGAACTTGGGTCCCAACCAGGCAGTTTGTGAACCATGAGGCGCTTGACTCTCGTACCACGACACTGATATTGTGAGCAGGTAATAGCTTAGCAACCACAACTCTAGCGCACAGCATTAGTGCAGGCAACCGACAAACTAGACAGCGAGAGTAGCACAATTACGCCGTCATCAAATGAGGGGATCTTATGGTTTACGGCCATCGAATTTATCTCGGCCGCCCCGTGTTTATCTCGCCCGCACTGGATGCGTTTTACTTCGGCGACATTGCACAGCATTATAGGCGCGCATTTCGCCGCGACGGCGTACGCAGCACGCGTCTTTCGTATCGGGCGGACGATGTTCTATACCCGCCCCCCATTACGCAGCCCACTCCCGCGCGAACCAGGTCCGGACGCCACGCCTCTCTTCGCTATCGTCGTCAACGCCTTAGGGTTGCACAATGCGCTACACGCCAAAGTTCGGGGGGAACTCCCCTCACACCATTAATTCGTCTTATACCGCGACGTGAAGACGGAAGATGATCTCTTCCGTCTGCTTGTCGCGCGTAGTGCTCACCTTACGTTCTCGTTGTCCCTTCGACGCTTTCGCGCTTACTCGTCTCTGCAACCTACTCCTCTCTCTCCCTTGCTTCGCGCCCTGCCCTACATGCGCTCTATCCACCCTTGTCACGATCTCCCTATCAGCGAATTGACTCCCTTCGTGCCATCACAGCGCCTCTCCTACCTTCCTGAGTGACTCGCCTCTCCCCTCGGTGTCGCATGCGCCCTTCCCCTCGGCGTCGCATGCGCCGTTCCCCTCGGCATCGCATGCGCCCTTACCCCTCTCCCCCCCCTTCCTCAACCCCCACCTGCTCCTGCAGACTGCAGTGGTGCAAGGACTGCATGCGCGCGGCCAGCATGCTGCAGCACAAGCTAGTCTAGGGGCATCTCGAAAACCCCAGCCTTCCCCCTCACTGCCCTCTCCGCCCTTTCCCCTCGTCTCCATACCCGTTCCCCTTCGTGTCCCCTTTCACCAGCACCCACGTGTGCGAAGACCCGCAGACCTCTTAGTGCTTGTTTTGAACAACTCATAACATTTCCCTTTTTGCCCTCTCACCGTGCCCTTTCCGCCCCTCTGCTTCCTCCCCTCCCGTCAGATGTGCGAGGCACATGTGCTGGCAGACTGCATGGTGCTGCGCAAGCTGGCGCAGGCCATGCGCGAGGGGTCGCGCCTGCGGGTGAGTGAGCTGGAGGGGGGGAGAAGGGGGAAAATGGGGCTGAGTGGGGAAGGGCGAGGAGGGGAAGTGGGGAGGAGGGGAAGTGGGAGACGGGAAAGATTGGTTTACGGCTGGCTATGGTAGGAGGGGGAAGGGGGGATCGTGAGGTCTTCGAAACAAAGAGTGGAGTTTTTCTCCTCTGTCCTTTCCTCTCTCTCACCCCGCCCTGTCCTTTCCTCTCTCTCACCCCGCCCTGTCCTTTCCTCTCTCTCACCCCGCCCTGTCCTTTCCTCTCTCTCACCCCGCCCTGTCCTTTCCTCTCTCTCACCCCGCCCTGTCCTAGGCCTCTCACCCCGCCCTGTCCTATCCCCTCACCCCTCGTCATCCCAGGCAAGGTTCAGACGAGGCGCATGGATGTGCCGCCTCCCCTTGCCCCTGCTTTCAGCGTCGCAGAGGCACAAATGAGCTACATGTTAAACTGTGTTATGTTGGTAGGCTGTAGTGGGGTAGCCAATATGGGGTACAACCCCAACTAGGGTTTGCTACTTGTACCCAACTCTTTCATTCAATGCATCATTCTTACGCTAGTATTCTGAGATGGTATTCAGAGCAGGTGGTCCCTAGGACCATCCGATCGTTTTTTTTTTAGGGCCCACCACCGCACGCTGCGGTTACCGCGTTACCCCCGCGCCCTACCCTCGTAGCGCCCTCGTAGCGCCCTTGTAGCGCCCTCGTGCGCCCTGCCGACCGGCGTCCTGCCAGCCCGCTCTGCCCCGCGCTGCCCGTCGCGCTGCCTCGCAGCCCCGCGCACCGCCCGCTGTGCCCCGCGCCGCCCGTCGATCTGCTGCGCAGCCCCGCGACCCGCCCGCCCTGCCCCGCGCTGCCTGTCGCTCGGCTCTGCAGCCCCGCGCGCCGCCCGCTCTGCCCCGCGCAGCCCGTCGAGCTGCCTTGCAGCCCCGCGCGCCGCCCGCTGTGCTCCGCGCCGTCCGTCGCGCAAAACCGCCCGCCCGCCGCGCTGCCTGCTTGCAGCGTCGCCCGCCAGTCGCGCTGCCCGCCTGCAGCGCCGCCTGCCTGCCGCACTGCCCGCTCGCAGAGCCGCCCGTCCGCCGCGCTGCCCGCTTGCAGCGCCGCCTGCTGCTCCCTGCCCGTGCGCAATTGCCCACCCCTGCTGCGGCAGCTTGCGTTGCTCTGTCGCACTGTCGCTATGGCTTCCATCCGCGTACTGTCGTTCGATGCTGAGGGCCGCCCTGTGCAGTTCACCACTTGGCTAGATGACCTGCAGCTGTTCCTCCTGAGCGATAGCAAGGAGCATGTGTCGCTCTATGATTACGCGTCTGGTGCTGCGCCTGCCCCTCCTGCCACAGCTGAGCTTAGTGTTCGTTCCCACTGGCAGACTCGTGACGCAACAGCTCGCCTAGCCATTCGCAGTCACCTGCCGTTAGCTGAGCTCGAGCATTTTGGCGACTGCAAATCCGCTAAGGCCCTGTACGACGCTGTCGTTGCTCGCTACTCCTCGCCTGCCACAGCCGAGCTTAGCCGCCTCATGCTGCCTTACCTGTTCCCTGAGCTGTCCACCTTTGCTACAGTCGCCGATCTTATCACCCACCTTCGCACTAGTGATGCTCGCCTGCGTGCTGCCCTTCCCACCGAGTTCTGCGCTAAGAACCCCCCTCCACTGTACTGGACACTCCACTTCATAGTCACCCGTCTCCCTGACACCCTCAGCTCAGTTCGAGACCACTTCCTTGCTCGCTGTCCCACTGAGCTCACAGTCGCCCTCCTAGAGGAGCAGCTGCTAGCGGCCGAGAAGAGCATTGTAGCTGTCGGTGCTGCTCGTGGCGCTCCTCGCACCCCCATCTTTGAGGGGTGTTCTCCCTCTCCCCTCGCTCCCTCCTACGCTACTGCTGCTGCTGTTGACTTCCTTGGTGCTGAGTCTGCTGGCGCTGCTTCTGCTCCTGGTGGGAGGCGCCGCACCGGCAAGGGCAAGGGGGGCAAGGGTGGCGGGGGTGGCGCTGGGGGGGGAGGAGGTGGGGGAGGTGGGGGGGGAGGCGGTGCTGGAGGGAGCGGTGGCGGGAGTGCTGGTGGGAGTGGGGTCGGCAGCGGAGGCGGGGGCGGCGGAGGGAGCAGTGGCGGTGGTGGCGGCGGCGGCGGTGGCGGCGGTGGCGGTGGCGGCGGTGGCGGTCGGAGCGGAGGTAGTGGTGGCGGCGGAGGTCGGAGTGGAGGCACTGGCTCGGGCCAGAGCTCCCAGCAGCAGCAGCGTCCCCAGACGACCCAGCAGCTTCGTGAGTGGCTTGCTCAGCGTGGGACGTCGGGGGGCAGTGTCCGCTGTTCCTATGTCATTCGCACAGGTGACCGCAAGGGACAGACGTGTGGGAGGTTCCACACCCCGTACCGCTGCTTCTCCCGCCTTGACGACGCTTGGCGTGAGGAGATGGGCGAGGATGTTGAGCGCCCCCGCTGGGCGGAGCTGATGAGGGCTGGTGTTGATATCTTTGCTCTTGACTATGATGCTATTATTGCTGCCATGTATGCATTGACTGTTAGTGCCGAGGGAGACTGTTACTTGTGTGTGCCGCCTGACCCAGGTATAGAGCCCGCTGCCCTAGGTACTAGTGAGTCTGCTCTCTCTGGTATGGTGCCCTCTGTGGCTGCTCCCTCCGGTACTGTCCCTGCTGCTTGTGAGTCTGCTCTCTCAGGTACAGCACCCACAGAGACTGCTCTCTCAGGTACTGCACCGGCTGAGGCCTGTCACACCTTCACCCTTGACTCAGGTGCTTCCCGCTGTTTCTTTCGTGACCGTACTGAGCTCACACCGCTTCCTGCACCGGTCCCAGTCTCCTTGGCTGACCCCTCTGGGGGCCCAGTCCTTGCACGGTCCACCACTGTGCTCCCGTGTCCAGCGGTTCCGTCTGGCTCGTTGTCGGGTTTCCACCTCCCCTCGTTCTCGACGAACCTGGTGAGCAACGCTGTCATCCAGGATCAGTGGGTTGACACCTTTACCCCTGGAGGACAGCGTGTGGCGATCCTCACGTGCTCCAGGACCGGCCGTCACCTGGCTACGTTTACCCGTCAGCCGGGGTCGAGTCTCTACACACTGACCACTGCGTCTCCTCAGGTCGCTGCTGTCGGTCAGGTGTCTACGTCAGGTCTGGTAGCCCACGCCTGTGAGTGTCGTTCCCTATCGCACCAGACTCTTCTCTGGCACCACCGCCTGGGTCACCCCTCCTTGCCACGCCTCCGTGGCATGCACCGTCGCCACCTTGTGTCTGGTCTTCCCAGGTCCCTCCCTCCCCTCCCTGCCTCGCCTGCACCGCCTTGCCTTCCTTGCGTCGAGGGGCGGCAGCGCGCCGCTCCTCACTCCTCCTCGTTCCCCCCGACAGAGGCTCCTCTGCAGACCCTCCACCTGGACGTGTGGGGCCCAGCCCGCGTTCGTGGTCAGGGCGGTGAGCGGTACTTTTTGCTGGTTGTCGACGACTACTCGCGTTACACCACGGTCTTCCCCTTGCGCACCAAGGGTGAGGTCCCTGCTGTTCTGATCCCTTGGATCCGCACAGTTCGTCTCCAGCTCCGCCGCCGTTTCCGGACGGATTTTCCTGTCCTGCGTCTGCACTCTGACAGAGGTGGTGAGTTTTCCTCCGACCTCTTGAGGACCTTCTGTCAGGCGGAGGGCATCGAGCAGACCTTCACGCTTCCGGACTCCCCACAGTAGAATGGGGTTGCTGAGCGCCGCATTGGCCTGGTCATGGAGGTCGCTCGTACCTCCTTGGTCCACGCGGCGGCTCCCCATTTTCTGTGGCCGTTTGCTGTCCGGTACGCCGCGCATCAGCTCAACCTCTGGCCCTGTGTCTCCTTGCCGGAGACCTCGCCCACACTGCGTTGGACGGGGGAGGTTGGCGATGCGTCGCGCTTCCGGGTGTGGGGTGCTCGTGCCCTTGTCCGCGATACGTCCGCGGACAAGCTCTCCTCCCGCACGCTTCCCTGTGTCTTCCTTGGCTTTGTCCCTGACGCGCCTGGCTGGCAGTTTTACCACCCCACCTCGCGCCGGGTCTTCGCCTCTCAGGACGTCACCTTTGACGAGTCGGTCCCTTTTTACCGTCTCTTCCCCTACCGCACTGCCCCCCTCCCTCCCCCGCCGCTTTTCCTTGCTCCTGGTCCCCCTCCGGTAGACCCCCTTCCCCCTCAGGGTCCTGCTCCTTCAGGTGTCTCTCAGGTAGACCCTCCTCCCGTCGCTGAGCCTGTCGAGGTCACAGGTGACTCAGGTGCTGCTGCAGGTGGTGCTGCTGGGAGTGCTGAGCCTGGGGGTGCTGAGCCTGCGGGTGCTGGGCCTGGGAGTGCTGGGGCTGCGGGTGCTGGGACTGCGGGTGCTGGAGCTGAGGGTACTGTGCCTGAGAGTTCGGCGCCTGGGGGTGCTGAGCCTGGGGGTGCTGCGACTGGGGGTGCTGAGCCTGCGTGTACGGAGTCTGGGGGTGCTGAGCCTGGGGGTGCTGCGCCTGAGGGTACTGAGCCTGGGGGTGCTGCTACTGAGCCTACGGAGCCTCGGGTTACTGCGTCTGGGGGTGCTCCGGTTCGGGGTGCTGAGCAGTCTCTCACACCGCAGCAGCTTCGTGACTGGTACGTCCGGCGCTTTCGCCGTCCTCGTGGCTCTGCTGGAGTTGGGGGTGCTGGAGCTGCTCGTCCTGGAGGTGCTCGTACTGGGGGTACTGGAGCTGCCGGGACTGGTTGTTCTGGGAGCACTACGACTGGAGCTGCTGGAGCTGGGGACTCTGGAGCTGGCGGTGCTAGCGGAGTTGGAGCTGCCGGCTCTGGGGGTGCTCTTCCTGGCGGTACTGGAGCTGCTGGAGCTGACGACACTGGAGCTGACGGTTCTGGACACGGTGGTCCTGCTGGTTCTGGAGGTGCTGGCGAGGGGAGGTCTGACGCTGCTGGGGCCTCTGGTGCTGACGTCGCCGACTCGGGGGGTGCTGCGGCGGAGGGTGCTGGTCCTGGTGCTTCTGGTGCTGCGGGTGCTGGAGGTGCTGGCGGAGCTCCGCCGTCGCGCCTGTTCTTCGCTCCTCCGTCGCCGTCGGCTTTGCCGCCGCCTGACACGGTGCTTCGCCAGGTTCTTTCCCTCCCGTCTTCCACTGGCCTTCCCCTCCAGCCTGGCTCCCCCCTCCCTGCTCCTGTGCCTTACACTGCACAGCCGGACTCGCTTACGGAGCGTCGCGAGCCTGCGTCTCGTCCTGCCTCGCCGGTTCGCGCTGCTCGCACTGCTCGCACTGGTCCCACTGGCCGTCGTGTCGCGCGTCCGCGTCCTCCTCCTGTTCCTGGCACGCATATTATGGCCCTTCGTCCTTCCACTGGTCCACAGCGTGTCCCCCTACCGTCTCCTCCTGCGTCTTCTCTTCCTGAGGTTCCCGACCCTGAGTCTGACAGTGTTCGTGCTGCCCACCCTACTGTTACGCGTCTTCTCGCCACTGTTGTCACTGACCCGTCGTTTGAGTCTTCTGCTGCGTCTGCCCTGGTCGCTGAGCTTGTCGACTTTGCTGCTGCCTGTCGTCTAGACTACGCCGCCAGTCTTGTTGCTGGGTCTGAGTCTGTCTGTCCTCCGTCCGTCGGGGGTGAGTGTGCTCTTGGCACGGACGTCCTTGAGGACAGGCAGGAGGACTTTGACTCTCTTGCGGCTGCTGTACCTCATCTCGTGGCCTGGCTGCTTGCTCCTGAGGGAGACCCGGATGCACTAGACATCCCCACTCCGCGCACTTACGCAGAGGCGATCTCGGGTCCCTACTCCTCTCAGTGGCAGACAGCCATGGACGCAGAGATGGCATCCTGGAAATCCACAGGCACCTACGTCGACGAGGTTCCCCCTCCTGGGGCGAACATCGTCGATGGCATGTGGATTTTCAGGGTGAAGCGGCCGCCAGGTTCTCCTCCTGTCTTCAAGGCTCGTTACGTTGCTAGAGGCTTCAGTCAGCGTCAGGGGGTTGACTTCTTTCAGACCTTCTCCCCCACCCCGAAGATGACCACTCTTCGGGTTCTGCTGCACGTTGCTGCTCAGCGTGACTACGAGCTTCACTCTCTTGACTTCAGCACAACGTTCTTGCAGGGCAGCCTGCACGAGGAGATCTGGCTGCGCCGCCCACCTGGCTTTACTGGGTCGTTTCCTCCTGGTACCCAGTGGAGCCTCCGACGGCCAGTCTACGGTCTCCGCCAGGCGCCACGCGAGTGGCACGACACACTGAGGACGACACTTGCGGCCCTTGGGTTTGCTCCTTCCACTGCTGACCCGTCACTGTTCCTGCGCACAGACACGTCGCTGCCGCCGTTCTACATCCTCGTGTACGTCGACGACTTGGTCTTTGCTACTGCTGACACTGAGGCACTCGCTCGTGTGAAGTCGGAGCTGCAGAAGAGACACACGTGCACTGACCTGGGAGAGCTGCGTAGCTACCTTGGCTTGCAGATCACCCGGGACAGAGCACGCCGCACCATTACCCTGACTCAGTCACACATGGTGCAGCAGGTCCTTCAGCGCTTCGGCTTCCAGTTCTCCTCACCACAGGCCACACCTCTGGCTACCAGCCACTCGCTCTCAGCTCCACCTTCGGACGAGTCCGTAGAGCCGAGTGGCCCGTACCCAGAGCTTGTAGGCTGCCTCATGTACCTGATGACTTGCACGCGACCTGACCTCGCGTACCCTCTTAGCATCCTTGCTCGTTACGTTGCGCCTGGGAGACACAGGCGAGAGCACTGGGAGGCTGCTAAGAGGGTGCTGCGTTACTTGTGCAGCACATCAGGCATGGGGCTGGTGCTTGGAGGACGCGACAGAGTTGTCCTCACTGGTCACTCGGACGCTTCTTGGGTGGACGACCTGGCTACGCAGCGGTCGTCACAGGGTTACACCTTCAGCCTTGGCTCTGGTTCTGTCTCGTGGCGGTCCACCCGCTCTTCTTCTGTTCTCGGCTCTAGTTGTGAGGCTGAGATCTACGCCACGGCCATGGCTGCACAGGAGTTACGCTGGCTCACCTACCTGCTGACTGACTTGGGAGAGCGGCCTAGTTCTCCTCCAGTTCTGTACGGCGACAACAAGGCGGCCCTTGCCTTGTGTCAGGAGCACAGACTGGAGCACAGGACGAAGCACATTGCTCTTCGCTACTTTCTTGCTCGAGAGCTGCAGCAGCGAGGTCAGCTTCGGCTTGTGTACGTGGACTCGAAGGCCAACACTGCTGATATCTTCACCAAGGCGCTCCCGCCTAGTGATCATCAGCGGCACTGTACTTCCTTAGGCCTTGTGTCCACATTCCCTCATTTGCTTACTGCTTGACTTTCTTTGTACTGTACTTTATATATATCTTGTTGCTTGCTTGCTAGGTCTTGATCACTGTGTTGCTTGTCTTGTACTATATCTAGCACTGCATGTGAACTGGCCTTGTGGCCTTTGCTTGTGCTCGGAGTGTGGTGACGTTGTGATCCACCCTGGGCTTGCTTTGCTTTGCTGGACTGGTCTTGTGACCCTTTGTTCTCCCCCACTTTGCCTATGGGGGTGTGTTAAACTGTGTTATGTTGGTAGGCTGTAGTGGGGTAGCCAATATGGGGTACAACCCCAACTAGGGTTTGCTACTTGTACCCAACTCTTTCATTCAATGCATCATTCTTACGCTAGTATTCTGAAAGCGCATTGTGGTGCTGTGCTTACTGGCAGCAGAAATGTTTCTCTGGAGGGCATTTATCTTAGCGGTAACACTCATGGAGCTCGATCGCACGCGAGGTAAGGTAACGTGTCCAAATCGTAACAGAGATGTCTTCTCATCGCCACCATGGTAACCAGGATTGCCGAGATGGTCAGCATTATTGCCTGAATGGTAATGAACAGTGCATCCGGAAATCCTGGCTGGTAACTTAGTGTTCCAACAAAACTGTACATCGTACAAGTCAGTTTTGACTCAGCAAAAGGAAACTGAGAGTCCACGTATACACCCACAGAATGCGCAATTCTGTTTAGTATACCAGCGCGTACAAACGCAAAACGTTACATGCGCGTATTCGATATATTTAACGATCACTTTTATAGCAAGCATCTTATGGACACTCTGGAAAATTAAATGTAGCCTGACTATTAAACAACTGAGAAAAAATATATGTCAAGCCTTGAATGCATTATTTATCTTATAAATTAATGGTTTTAATTTTTATGCAATTGTTATTGATTGTCATATACAAAATTAATATTGTTCAAATTTATATTGAAATTATTGTTACTTGGTCTTGCTCCATTTCTGAATATTCGGAAATGAAATTCTAATAGGTTAAAATAATTTGTTTCAAAAAAATTAGCACTAGAATGGCTTTATGATTTCACATTGTGTGTTTCTTCGTGGCGTTTGTTTGAAGTTTAATGCTTTATGTTTGTTTTTTTACGAATTACAAGTTCGTATATCGAGGTTTTACTGTGTGGGATTGTAAACGCCGCTATTATAAACCGAATTTCGCATTCTGTGGGTGTACACGTGGACAGTCAGTTTCCTTTTGCTGAGTTAAACCTGACTTGTACGCTGTACAGTTTGGTTGGTACGCGAAGTTACCAGCCAGGATTTCCGGACGCACTGTTCATTACCATTCAGGAAATAATTCTGACCATCTCGGCTATACTGGTTACCATGGTGGCGATGAGAATACATCTCTGTTACGATTGGGACACGTACTTTACCTCGCGTGCGATCGAGCTCCGTGAGTGTTACCGCTAAGATAAATGCCCTTCTCTGGATCAGATGGGATGGGATTCGTTTTCCTACTGGCTGCTTTGGGAATCGGAAGGAACTCGTTTCACTGCTGCTTTGCTCTTGTGCTGCACGATGCGCGCTGGACAGTTTGAAGATGAACCGGCGGGGATGTATGGTTGGAGGTGATTCGCGAAAGAATCGAAAGCGACCAGATGGACGACCGTGGGTTGGCAATTCAACGAAGAGAGAATGGCGGGCGATGAGTCTTGGCGAAACAGCGGAGTTGAATTGACGAAGATGAACCGGCGAAGACGACCAACTTTTGAGAGGCATGGAAAGCATGTGTTGCACACATTGTGCCCGCAAATGGCGGCGGAGAAGACCAAACGACACGAACGCGTTACTCATGGTTCCGCATTTTGCGCTGAAGTTGTGTTGTCCTCACTACAGTGGTGTATCTTCACAGCTCAATTGATGCCACGTACTAAAGAAAATCCTACCAGTGCGTCTAAGATTTTTTTTCTAATGTGACATGCAATGCAAGTACATAATCCAGTTTTACGGTATATCATTTGTGACCGAGAAATACCATTACAAGGCAACTGGTGGGCTAGGCATCAACCACCTCACACATCCTGCTCGGCCAATGCTAAGCAAAAGCTAAAAGTGCTGGTATTCGCGCAATTGGATCAATAACACCCAAACACATGCCACCACTTCTACCTGTAGCAATCGGTAGGTCTTTCTCATGCGTGTACCGCCGTAGGGCCAGTTCGAAGCTCATTCTTTAAAAGGCTACATCACTGCACTCCGTAACTGTTGGTGATGCTGAGAGCAACGCGCGGCAACGGCAAACAAGCCAGGAGATATGTTTCCATCGACAGATGAAAAACAGCTCTGTGTCGCACCTCTAAAACAATGGGCTTAGGTTTGAAATGGGTCGCTTCTACAGGGACAGATTCTTTTTTTTAGTATACATGAGCCGCCTTTAGCCTTCTGTCAGAAAAGGATCTTCTTTGAACAAGGCAAAGGGGGGTGAGTCAAGAGCAGCGCGAGCGATGTCCCCGTCCTCGTGGATGCGAGCGATGAGCGCGGGGAGCGAGGGGAAGTCAGCCTGTGGTGGGAAGGTGGTGGTTACAAGGAAGCCTGAGTGATGGGCTATTATGATGAATGTGAGTGATAAGTGAGGGGGGTGAGAGGAGCGAGGGGAACGAGGGGAATGAGGGGGCGAAAGGAACAAGGGGAGGGAGGGAAAGGAGGAAGAGTCGGCCTGCAGTGGAAGGCGAGAAACTTAAAACTGCTCCTTGATGCCTAATAGACTGGCGCATCATAGATGCCTACAAAATCTTAACATTTTAAGCACCTCAGTAATCATAAACAAGACTGGTGCATCATCAAAGACATGCCCAAAATCTTTTCATTTCAAGTGCCTCAGAAATCGCCTCATTCTAAGAACCCAAAAAATCGCTGCATGTGCCATTACCTCCACTGCTCCCTTCCCAGCAAAGTTGCACGAAAGGATGCAAGAAGCAAATGATGGCTTGTTGCAGGAACAACATGCAACAACATGCAACAACATGCAACAACATGCAACAACATGCAACAACATGCAACAACATGCAACAACATGCAACAACATGCAACAACATGCAACAACATGCAACAACATGCAACAACATGCAACAACATGCAACAACATGCAACAACATGCAACAACATGCAACAACATGCAACAACATGCAACAACATGCAACAACATGCAACAACATGCAACAACATGCAACAACATGCAACAACATGCAACAACATGCAACAACATGCAACAACATGCAACAACATGCAACAACATGCAACAACATGCAACAACATGCAACAACATGCAACAACATGCAACAACATGCAACAACATGCAACAACATGCAACAACATGCAACAACATGCAACAACATGCAACAACATGCAACAACATGCAACAACATGCAACAACATGCAACAACATGCAACAACATGCAACAACATGCAACAACATGCAACAACATGCAACAACATGCAACAACATGCAACAACATGCAACAACATGCAACAACATGCAACAACATGCAACAACATGCAACAACATGCAACAACATGCAACAACATGCAACAACATGCAACAACATGCAACAACATGCAACAACATGCAATGCACAGGCCAAGTGAGAGAGACAGTTGGTCAGCTGACCTCAGCGCGAATGTATCCAACCACCACCAGCCTGAGCTCCTCATCGTAAAAGTCCTCCCCGAAATCATGCAGCAGCCATGGCTCCTGGGAAAGAAAGGCAGGGTGGAGGGGGAGGGGGAGAAACGGGTGCACGTGAACACGTGCACGCACGCACACACCAGCCTGAGCTCCTCCTTGTAAAAGTCCTCCCCGAAATCATGCAGCAGCCATGGCTCCTGGGTATGGGGAGGTGGGGATAGGGGGGGAAATGGGTACACGTGAACACGCGTGTGCTCGGATGCACTCACATGCACACACATGGACATAAATGCACTCACATGCACACACATGGACACAAATGCACTCACATGCACTCACATGCACTCACATGCACTCTCATGCACTCACATGCACACACATGGACACAAATGCACTCACATGCACTCACATGCACACACATGGACACACATGCACATGCACACACATGCACACACATGCACACACATGCACACACATGCACAAGCAAGCACACACACACACACACGCACTCATGCCCACACACATGCCCACACACATGCGCACACACATGCGCACACACATGCGCACACACATGCCCACACACGCGCACACACATGCGCACACACATGCGCACACACAATCTCACATGCAACGCACACACTCACCACAGTCTTGTGTGTGTTGTTGAAAAAAGTTTCCCACCCCACTCTCATTTTGTACGCATGCACCTGTGCACACACACTCACACCCACCATTGTGTGTCGTTGAACAAGGGGTTTCAGCCCACACCCATCACCATCTTGAACACGCCCACACACCCATACACACACTCACTAATATGCTCACAAACCCGCACACTGACACATACTCACCACAGTCTTATGCGTGTTGTTGAAAATCCGACACTCATGACCATCTGGAACACGCCCACAACCAGCTCAGACACACTCAGACCCCCCCTCTCTCCCACTCACCACAGTCTTACGAGTGTTGTTAAAGAAGGGGTTCCACCCCACGCTCATCACCATCTTCAACACACTCACTCACGCACATGCACACACACACCCACACACATACATGCACACATACATACTCACCACAGTCTTATGAGTGTTGTTAAAGAAAAGGTTTCCACCCCACGCTCATCACCATCTTGAACACGCCCACACTCATGCACATGCACACACCCATGCACCTACATGAACACAAGCATTCATACATACGCACCACAGTTTTATGTGTGTTGTTAAAGAAGGGATTCCACCCCACGCTCATCACCATCTTAAACACGCCCCTGCCCTTCAGCCCTGCCCACCCGTGGTAGATGCCACACACGTGCTCTGCTAGATGCCCTGTGAATGATGAGGCTGGGAGGTTGGCTGCAGAGGAATGGGAGGAGCAACGGAACAGAAGGGGGGAAAGGAGTTCACTACAAACTGCCCACCTGTGGTAGATGCCGCACACGTGCTCTGCTAGATGGCCGGTGAAGCTAGAGGCTGGGAGATTGGCTGGAACAGAGAAAGGGGAGTGGAAGGAGAATGGCGGATTTAGGTTGATTACACACTGTCCGCCCATAGTACATGCCACACACGTGCTCTGCTAGATGCCCTGTGAAAGACGAGGCTGGGAGGTTGGCAGAGAGGCTGAGATGGGGGATTAATTAAACAATGACGTCTAAAAAGGCACATATTGAGACATCTAAAAAGGCACATATTGAGACATCTAAAAAGGCACATATTGAGACGTCTAAAAAGGCACATATTGAGACGTCTTCAAGAGAAAAAATAACGAGACGTCTGAAAAACATTGTCAGGCAGGAGACAGGAGCCTGGCAAGCCGGGAGGTTGGATGAGAGGGAGTGAGTGAGAGAATAGAGAGTGAGTGAGCGAGGGAATATGTGGGGAGAGAGGAAGATGTGGGGGTGACTACCTGTGGGAATGCCCAGGACCTTTGAGCCGCGCCCAAATCCCTTGATAACTGGGCCTTTGATGTACCAGGGCGTGATGGGCAGAGAGCGGTGCAGCCCTGCAGGCAAGAGAGGAGAGGGAGGAAGAGGAGAGGGGAGGAGAGAGAGGATATGATGAGGAACAGCCCTTAATGACCGGGCCTTGGATGTACCGGGGAGGGATGGGGAGAGAGCGGTGCAGCCCTGAGAGCAAGAGAAGAGAAGGGAATCGGAGAGACAGAGAGCGGATACAATGAGGCACAGCCTTCAGTGACCGAAGAGAAAAGAGGAGAGAGGAAGGGAAAGCGGGAGCTTACAGTCAGAGAAGGGAGGGGGGAGAAGGTGGTGGATCACAGCGCAGCTGATGGTCGCATCCCTGTTGCACCAACAGCAGCAGCTAGAGCGTCGGAAAGAAAGAGGGCACACTTACAATCAGAGAAGGGAGGGAGGCCCCAGTGCTGCGGTTGGAAGTCCAGCAGAGAGGGCAGCAGGTGGTGGGCGGCAGCTGGTGGGCAACAGCTGGTGAGTCATAGAAGCTCAGCATGCAGGAGCAGTGCAGACAGAGTGTCGAGAGACAGAGAGAGGGAGCTTACAGTCGGAAAAGGGAGGGAGGCCCCAGTTCTGCGGTTGGAAGTCAAGTAGAGAGGGCAGCAGCTGGTGGGCGGCGGAGTAGAGTGGCCGGGCGGCCTTATTTGGCAGGGAGGGCACTGCAAGCACCCACATGCCTGCAGCAACAGCTGCTTCAACCCCTGCTCTGGTGGGAACGAGGACAGGAAGGAATAGGGAAGGGATGGAAAAGAGCTGACCCGAAATCCAAAACCTTAACCCAGAATACCCTCAACATGCCTTGCTTGGCAGAAAGGTGGTTGAGGGAAGAGATGCGAGCAGAGCAAAGACGCAGATAAAAGGGGTCTTCCACGGGGAGGGGAAGGGGAAGTAGCCTACAGGGCATCTTCCACCACTTAGCAGTGAGCGGGAGAAGGGAGACGTGGGAAGGGAGATGTGGGAAGGGAGACGTGGGAAGGGAGACAGAGCCACAGGGAGGAGAGATAGGAGGGAGAAGGGGAAGTAGCCCATGGGTTATCTTCCACCACGAGGCAGTGATGGGGAGAGACGAGGGAAATGAGTGCGGGAAGAGATGCAAGCAGTGCAATGGCCGACGCAAGCAAGAGCGCAAGAGGGCCAAGGCACCTGTGGAGAGTTTACTTTTGAGAATTCTCAAAAGTAAACTTAACATAGCTGGCAACTGTGGAGAATCTTCCACAGGTGGGCAAAGAGCAGGAGAAGGGATAGGTGAGAAGGGATAGGTGAGAAGGGAGACAGAGAAACACAGGGAGAAGAGGTAGGAGGTAGGGGTAAGAGGGGGAAATGGCCTATGGGGCATCTTCCAGAACGAGGCAGTGTTAGGGAGAGGCGAGGGGTGTGAGTGAGAGGGGACATGGGGGCAGTGCAATGACATAGCAAAAAAAACAAGCGGGGGGGTTAGCCTACTCACGGGGCATCTTCCACAACGAGGCAGCGAGCGGGAGAAGGGAAACGAGAGAAGGGAGACAGAGTAACACAGGGAGAGGGGGAGGTAGGCTACTCACGGGGAATCTTCCACAACGAGGCAGTTGGAGGGAGAGGCGCCCATCAGCTCAGCTGCCCGTAGGAATCTGAAAGTGAAGAAAAGCAAAAACAGGGAGGGGGAAAGCAATGGCCAGGTTGTTCAGGCACCCATTCGTCGTGATTGGTCTCTTTGGTTTAGCTGCTTGGAGGACTCTGAAGGAGAAAAGGGGCGGAAACATAAAGGCGGCAAGCATCATGGCCATAGGATGGGACAGAAGGTCGACGAATTGGGAAGTTGGTTATAGAAGTTGAGACGAGCAAGACTGAATGCACGTGAAAGTGGACTGGCTTATGAACGTCACGCAGACAGACAAACACTCACATGTCAGGGCGCGGCTTGCCATGCTCCACCTCATCCCCTCCCACCAGCACTTGCAGCATGTCCGTCCATCCTGAACCGTTGCGAGAAGGGGAGGGACAGAGAGGTAGGGAGGACGGGGCCGTGTGAGGGCATGGTTACATGCCAGGGCGCGGCTTGCCATGCTGCACCTCATCCCCTCCCACCAGCACTTGCAGCATGTCCGTCCATCCTGAGCCATTACAACGGGGGTCAGAGAGGCACAATTACATGTGAGGAGAGATTTGTGGAGGCTTCCAGCTGCCGGCAAGGAAGGAGAGCTTGCGGGTCATGTAAAACCTCGATAGAGGTGCTGCGGCAAGCAGCAGCAGCCTAATACTTACCTTGGACAATCCTCAACTTACCCAGAACGTCTCTCATCTTTCCTGGACCGTTCCTGGCTGAAAACGTGCACCCGACCTGCATGGAAGGAGAGCTTGATGTTGACGTTGCGCCGGGGGGAGCTAGAGGCAACAGAAATGGGGAGCATGCCTGGAGGTGCTGCATCAGCAGGAGCAGGCTGCAGCCTGAACATACCCTAAGACTACCATGAGCAGGAGCAGGAACTTCCCTCGGAACGTGCAACTGACCAGAGTGGAAGGAGAGCTTGATGTTGACGTTGCGCCGGGGGGAGCTAGAGGCAACAGCCATGGGAATGCCGCACGCTTGCAGGTGCTGCATCAGGCGGTGGGCGCCCGGGAGGGGCTTGGCTTGGCTCCACCTGCATATGAAGGTGGAAATGGATGAGACACAGGCGATATTTCCTAATCAGTTTGCCTCACTGCATGTGCTTGAGGTGCTGCGTGCCTACACGCACTGCAGGTGCTGCGTCAAGCAGTGGGCGCCTGGGAGGGGCTTGGCTTGGCTCCACCCACACACACCTGCTTGACTTGGATACAGTCCCACCCCACCCACCTGCACCTGCATAAGGCATCGGAAATAGTCCCATGCACTGTGGCCGGAGCCTTTCCCATGCACCACAGCCCCATACACACTCCCTTAGTCCCCATCCATCTCCCGCACTGGCCATTCCCGCACTGGCCGTTCCCGCACTGACCGTTCCCGCACTGACCATTCCCCACGCCCACACCCCCCACGGAACTCACCTCTCCCCTACCAGCACGTGCCTCTGCTCTAATAGCTCCTCCGCACTGCAGGGCAGCCCCCACGCATCCCACTTCCTTCCCTACCTATGCCCCGTACCCCGGGTTTTGAGTCGACTCAAAACTAGTAACTCCTCCGCACTGCAGGGCAGCCCCCACGCACCCCACTTCCTTCCCTCCCTATGCCCCGTCCCCCGTTCTCACCTCTCTCCATCAGCACGTGGGTCTGCTCTAGTATCTTATCTCGTCCGGGGTACAAGGCAGCCCGTATAGCTGCACCATCGCACGAACCAGGTCCCTCTCATCCCACCCACCCCCTTCTCCACGCCACTTACGCATTCCCCATGTCCCAAACGATCTCACCTCTCCTCCACCAACACATGGCTCTGCTCCAATAGCTCCTCCGGGGTACAAGGCAGGCCGTATCGCTGCACCGTGGCACGAGCGCCGTCAATCGGCCGCTCCCTATGCACTCCCTCCTTATGTCGCATCGCATCCCGCACGCAGACTCACCTCTCCTCGACCAACACATGGCTCTGCTCCAATAGCTCTTCTGCACTGCAAGGCAGCCCGTATCGCTGCACTGTGGCACGACCCATCCCCCACACACCTCACCCCCTTCCCACCCTATCTCCCAACCCCCTTGACTCACCTCTCTTCCACCAGCACGTGGCTTTGCGCTAGCAACTCCTCCGGGGTACAAGGCAGTCCATATCGCTGCACCGTGGCACGAGCGCCATCGATTGGCCGCTTGCCGATACGATCCTCGGCGCCCTCGCCAGTCCACACCTTGCCGTACCGCTCCACCAGTATCCTTGCCACCTCCGTCACCGCACTCTCTGGGGGAAGGATGAGGGGTAGACAGACAGGGAGCAAAACGAGCACAATCATTCCCAACAAGCTCCTCCTCCCACTCACGCGCCCATCCATGCCTTGCCATGTGGCTACGGAGATGGCTGACGTGGCAAAGCGAAACCTTGCCACCTGTGCTATCGCTTTGTACTCCATGGAAGGGGTAACGGTCTCAAATATCCGTATTTTAAGCCGTCGCCTTTTTTGCTCTACCAGTTCTCTAACAGCTTCCGTTTTGAACTGATGCTGATGCGTAGGGGAATGCGAGTAGGAAAGGGATCGGGCGATTCAAGGTTGTTCGCCCTACCAGCGCTGGCAATCAGCTCTCGAACCAACTCTAAGGTCGGGCGACTCGAATTCGACACGAGAGCGAATCGAGGGCGATTCAAGGTTATTTGCCTAACCAGTGTCGATCAACAATCTAATGAACTTCAAGGTCGAGCGCGATTCGAGGGTAGTGTGTCCTACCAGTGTCATCGAGCGTCTTAAGTCGACTGAAAAGTCACATGAACTCCAAGGTCGAACGCGACTCGGGGGTTAATCAAGATAGTGTGTCCTACCAGTGCCGATCAACGCCTTAAACAGATGGGGGGGAATGCGAGCAGGAAAGCGGGTCGGCTAACTCAAGGGAATGTGCTCAACCAGTGGCCATTAATAGCCTCATAAAACTACTCCAGGGTCGGCCTACTTAAGGGTGGCTCCAAGGGAGTCCCTACCAGTGTCGATCAGCGTGCCGTCCAGGTCGAAGATGACGTGCGTGATCTTCGCGTCAGATAACGACCTGCCACCTGGACCAATGACGGTGACCGTGCTCTCCGCCTCACTAGCAGCCGTTCCCTCGCTCTCGTTTGCCATTGCGAGAGCGCGTTGTGCATCCACGTGGCGCGCTACGAAGGAATAGCCATAGGAGAAGCACGAGCTATAAGGTATGGAGTATGGAGTACTAGGAGAAACCAGAATCTAGAATCACAAGAATCTACCATCGTTCCCGAATTTCGAACCTAGGGAATTTGGCGAGTGGGATGAAGAGCACGAAAATCACTGCGTTTATCGATTTGCCATACTTAACTCACAGAACCCTGCTCAAATGTCCGAAAACGCACTATACCCCGAAATGCTTACAGAAAAATGGCCTCGAGAACATCCCATCACGCGTGAACTGTTTGCCCTGGTACCATTTTGGACCACGTATTAACCGCGCTGGACCTCTAGGCGTATTCTCAGACCTAACCTCTTTTGGCTACACGCTGTTTTCCCGATTCTATCAACCCTTACGACCTGCGTTCAGATGTATGAAATGTAATGTTTAACTATAATTATAAACAACAAAAGTGTTTCCGTATGCAAGAGTGTGGCAGCACCATGATGCCATCTCTGTCACTCCTCTCTAAATAGCCTGTTCCTCGACAACAGTGTTACGGCTTTTGCCAAACTTGTTCTCAGTTGTAGAGATATTTTGGCCTCGAGGCTGAGTCCCAGCACCATGACTCTTTTGTGGCCTCCAACCACCATTCTTTGTGCAGTCAGCCGAGTCGAGTCTCCAAAGAGGCAGGCAAGGACACTAAAAACCATGCACGAAGCCACCACTGCAGCAGATTTTAACTGGAAAAGAACAAGAGAAGAAAAGAATAAGCGTCACTGATGAGCTCACAGCCACACCTTGATGCTAAAAAAACTTCACCACCCCCCTTCTCCCCCCCTCCCCCTCCCCCCTTCCCCCTCCCTCCCTCCCACTATCCCTTCCCCCTCTCTTCCCCGTGCCCTTACAACATTCTGCTCCTTAAAAACAGTCCTGTGCCAGCTAGATCAGATCAGACCACTCATGAGCTGACCGCCACGCCACCCCCTGGTGCTTGAGAATCTCCCCCACCACATCGCCCCTACCCGACCCCTTCCCCCTCTGTTCCCCACGCCCTCTAACAACGCTCTGCTCCTTTAGATATGCCCCCATGCTGCTTGAAACAAACCACTCATGAGCTCACGGGCACCCCTTGGTGCTTCAGAATCTCCCCCACCAAGTCCCCCCTGCCCGACCCCACATAGCGCCCCAGCAGCTCCCCTCTCCTGTAGAACAGGAAGGTGGGCGCCTCCACCACCCCCAGCTCGCGGATCAGATCCTTGGTGCAGTCCGCTGAGTCCCCAAAGAAGCGGGCAAAGACAGCTAAGACACGAAACACCGCGCACCAAGCCACCGCCAAAGCTACTTTCTATCCGGAAAAATCTCATTTACGAGCTCACAGGCACCCCTTGGTGCTTCAGGATCTCCCCCACCAAGTCCCCCCTGCCCGACCCCACATAGCGCCCCAGCAGCTCCCCTCTCCTGTAGAACAGGAAGGTGGGTGCCTCCACCACCCCCAGCTCGCGGATCAAATCCCTCGTGCACTCTGCTGAGTCCCCAAAGAAGCGCGCAAAGACGGCGTGGCCGGCCATGCGGTGGGAGAGGTTGAGCACGGTCTGGTGGATGCGCACGCAGGGACCGCAGAAGGTGAGCGTTGCCTCGATCACCACCAGCATGTCCGTGTCCTTGTGCGTCTGTGGGAAGGGGATAAGGCAGGGAAGGGGCAAGGTGGGGAGAGGTTGAGCACGGTCTGGTGGATGCGCACACACGGACCGCAGAAGGTGAGCGTTGCCTCGATCACCACCAGCATGTCGTGACTGGACGGAGGGGAGTGTGGAGGGGAGTGGAGGGGAGAGAGGGGGAAGGGAAGGGAAGGAAAACAGGTTCGGTTGTGCGCATGAAGGGGCCACAGAATGCGAGACTGGATCTTATCACTACCAGTACTGTCACAGTTGCCATGTGACGGTAAACATGTTACTGTAAGGTCTCAAGACGTCCACTTTTGAGACATCTGGAGTATTGTTCACGTGGCTTTTTAAATTGGACGCAGGTTTTTTAGGATTGTGCAGGGTGTAGAGTGTTAGATGCTTGATTCATGCTCATGCATTTCGAAACAGGCAGGGGCGGAACAGCAAAGAAATACTGTCCTACGAGCAGAGAATCTTTTCTCCACGTTCCCCCGTTTCCCCGTCCCCCCGCCCACCATTCCCCCATCCCCCTCCCCCCATCCCCCCATCCCCCCAATCCCTTCCGCAGGTTGCAACTCCAGCACAGGCCCTAGGGCAAAGCAAACACCCGATTGATCTGTGCCTATTGGTGAGCCCATTCCTCCTCCCATTCCTCCTCCCATTCCTCCTCCCATTCCATAGGAGTAAGCCCCGCACACCTCCTCCTCACCAACCCCCCTCCCCCCTTCCCCTTCCTCAACCCCCCCTTACCACGTTTTCCCCCTTCCTCCCCCCAACCCCCTCGCACCTCAATCAGCGGGCGGATCTCTTCCGCGGAGTGCACCTCCAGCACGGGCCCTTCCGCGGAGTAGAACAGCAGCTCGGCGCGCAGCCCATTGACGTACATAGCGAGCCCCGCTCATCTTCCCCTAATCCCTTCCCCTTCTCCCTATCACCTATCCCCTCCTCTTTTTCCCTTCCCATCCCCTCTCCTCCTCCTTTCCTCCCCCTTCTTATTTCCCATCCCTCCCCTCCTTCTCCACCACTCCCCCTATTGCTTTTCCTTCCACCTACGTCAATGAGCGCGCGGAACTCTTCCGCGGAGTGCACTTCCAGCACGGGCCCTTCCGCGGAGTAGTACAACAGCTCAGCGCGCAGCCGCTCCGCGCGCAGCCGCTCCGCGTCCATAGTGAGCCCCGCACACCGCCCTCATTACCGACCTCTCTCTCCCATTCCCCTTCCCCTTCCACCCACCCCCTCTCCCCCCATCCTCCCCCTTCCACCCATCCCGCAGTTCCTCGCATCCCCCCCTTCCCCGCAGCCTGCTTACCTCAATGAGCGCGCGGTACTCTTCCGCGGAGTGCACCTCCAGCACGGGCCCTTCCGCGGAGTAGTACAGCAGCTCGGCGCGCAGCCGCTCCGCGTCCATCCCCGCGTCCTCGTGCACGCGCTGCCCCTCGCGGAAAAGCACGTACGACGGCACGCGCGCGCACTGCATGCTCTGCGCCAATCCGCGCAGCTCCGCGCCTTTGTCCGCGAAAATGCGCAGGAACATCGCGTTCGGAAACAGCCGCGCAGTTTCCACGAGGGTGCCGTAAATCCGGTCGGTATTTGGGAGGGTAGACATAGTAACCTCTACTACGGCGAGTCGCCCTTTGTTCTTAGCCTCCGTCATCAGCCGATCGTATTCTTCGCGGCTCGAGAGATTATTACGCGTGCCGCCGCGGCCTCTAGCGCGGCGGCTTCCCGCGCGGATGCTTCCGCGGACTCCCGGGAATCCGTGGCGGACGAAGGCGCATGCGCGCCGGTGCTGCGCGTGGCGGCGTCGGCGGAATATTGCGCGCGGGGGGAGACTGAAGCGCGCCGCGCGGAGAAGGCGGCGGCTACGTGTGGAACGATGGCGCTGGGGAAGGTTTGGGAAAGCAAAGAGCGGCGGAGATCCAGAGAGCGTGCTGACGTGGGGCGCGGAAGAATGGCACCAGCAGGTGCTATTTTGGGTAGGGCGCTGCAGCACGCGACTTGGTGAGCCATGACTGGGAACGGGGATTTGCAAAGGGCAGCGTTCTCGAAGTGCGATACGCCGCGGTTTGTGCGCGGCAGGTTCGTGCGTGGGGTTGACAGCCAGTAGCCACCAGTCCGTTCGTTTAACTAATTCGTGATAAGGCAGTTGGGAAGGAAGCCGCTGCTTAGATTTAAGTGCAGGCGCGCGGTGATTCTAGGGGAAGAGCCGAGTGATTGCCGTTGCCAACGTTCCTACTTCAATTCTCTGTATCACAGGAATATTGGGCTGAGAGAAAAGGCTGAAGACTGGAGGGAACATGTTAGCGATGAATTGAGGTGGAATGTTGGAGCGCTGTGCAACGCTGCATCTTCTTTTAAACCCACCCAACCGTTTTGAAGCGTCTGTATTTCGTATAGATCCTTACTAAACCGTACTGCAGAGAACTTCAGGGAAACACACCCAACTCCAGAATCCCCAGAGCTACAGTAATTGATGACGGATTCATGCTTGCTCGTGGCATCTCGCGGCCTCGCCATGATTGGTTGGTGGGACGCCTCACCACTACCTCACATCGCAGGGTTCTTCTGCTCCGTTCGGTTCAGGTGCCCGTCCTGCGTGTGCCCGGCATGCCTCCGCCAACCTTCATGTACACACGATGTCCGTTTGACTAACCCAAGGTTGCCTTGTGAAGGGGGCGCTTAAGTGATTCATGCATTTCGTGGAGGTTTCGTCAATTCGCTTCGGGCAAAAAGGGCTTATAGCAAAATTTTGTAACTCACCGTTGACTGTTTGACTTCGGTCTCTTCTGTTTCTGTGGTTCGTATTGGTTGACGTGCTTGTAACGTGGGTGCAACTGCCCGGGAAAAAACCTTCGTGTGCAAGGTTTCTGGAACGTGCGAGGCAATTTCGCGTGCAGGGGTTGGGCATCTTGTGTAGAATGTTTGCGCGCTGTGCACCAAACCATGGTGAAATGAAGCTGCATTGCACAAAAACGAGGTGTGCAAATGTGATCAGCATCGGCTTGATCGTTTCTGGATGATCGGAATCAATGCTGGTTCTATACTTGTGACCAGACACAGAAAGTTTTTGAAAGCTTCATATTGTATTTTTGCATTCTTGTTTCAGGGAACCCTGGGTTACTTGAAATATACAGAGATAAATCTCCTGGCATCAGCTGATTCGGAACTGACGTGGACATTGCGCATCCACGCCGTTCCCTCCCTCTCAGGATAATTTCGTTTCCTTATTGGCTACCAGCAGCCGCGGAAGTGACAACCTGGACACCATCGATTCTTCTCTGTGAATAGAATCCCTAAAAAAACAGAAAGCTTCGGCTGCTAACGTTACAAATATTCGCAATTCATGCAAGCGTATGAACAATGGACATCAGTAAACAAATGCCAGCATACGTACCAGCACTAATGCGTGGTACAACATATCAGCTCCATAACAAGCACTGATGATACATCAACAAAGGTCCTTGCACGAAAAAAGTGTGTAGTGATAGGGTTATACTATAAGCTGATATGCACCTTATATATAAAGGGATCACTCTGAAACCCCAAACCATGGAGAAGTTCAGTGTTTAAAAAACTCTGGGTCATCCTAACAGCAACTTCATGACAGCTCCACCAGTGTCTTATTACAGCAGCAGTTGCGGCAGGATCGGTCTAAGCGTATTAAACGGCACAGCAGGAGCCGTTTCCTCTGCCTCCATAGCTCGCCTGAAACACTCTGCAGCAGCACCCACATCCCCTCTCCCTCTCTCCACCAATCCCAGCACATGCCACGCACGTGCATCAAACCCATCACCAGATACCACCTCCCTCAGGTACACCTGCGCCATGTGCAGCCACTCCCCGCCCATCTGCAGCAGCAGGGCTCCCAGCCGTGCCTTGCTGGCAGCGTGCCATTGGTCGATGGCCAGGGCACTGCGGTAGCAGGCCAGGGCCTCCTCGGGGCAGCCCCTCACTTCTTCTAACATGCCTGGGGGAGTGAGCGGGAGAGAGGACGGGAGAGTGGGGATGTGAATGATTATGTGAGAGTGAGGGTGTGAGAGCGAGGATGTGAGAGTGGGGAGGGAGCAGTCGAACGACCATTTGATGGCAAGGGCACTGCAGTAGCAGGCCAGGGCCTCCTCAGGGCAGCCTCTCGCCTCTAGCATGCCTGACAAGTGCGAGATTGGGGATGTAAGAGTGAGGAGGGCGGGGGAGAGGGGCTGGTCGATGGCCAGTGCAATGCAATAGCAGGCCAGGGCCTCCTCAGGGCAGCCTCTCGCCTCTTCTAGCATGCCTGACAAGTGCGAGATTGGGGATGTAAGAGTGAGGAGGGCGGGGGAGAGGGGCTGGTCGATGGCCAGTGCAATGCAATAGCAAGCCAGGGCCTCCTCAGGGCAGCCTCTCGCCTCTTCTAGCATGCCTGGGGAAGTGAGGGAGAGGATATGAGAGGGAGGAAGGAGTGGGGGAGGCTGTTCTATGGCCAGGTTACAATGCTAGCAGGCCAGGTCCCTAAGGGGGCAGGGCAGCATCTTGCCTATTTCAGCATGCCAGGGGAAATCTGAGAGATCGAGAGAGGATGTGAGAATGAGGATGTGAGAATGAGGATGTGAGAATGAGGATGTGAGAATGACGATGTGAGTGAGGGACTGGCTTTTGGCCAGTGCAACGCAGTAGCAAGCAAGGGCCTCCTGGGGTGACCTCTTGCTTCTTCTAGCATGCCTGGCGGAGTGAGAGTGGAGAAGGAGAAGGGAAAGGGGAGAGAAGGGGAGCAGGATATAGGAAAAGGGAAAGAGGAGAAGCGGGGAAATAACATCTGGTATGGGCGTCTTGAGGCCTGTGCTTGGCCTCTTCTCGCGTGGTCAGAGAGTAGAAAAGGCTACTGGTGCGTGCGCGACTTTCAAGTTTGCCAAGTGGCAAAGAAGCAGGCCCTGTTGCATCTGGTATGGGCGTCTTGAGGCCTGTCCTTAGCCTCTTCAAGCGTGGCCGGAGAGTGTAAGGAATGGGGGAATGGGAGGGGGGGAGTGGGGAAAAAGGGGACGAAGGGGAGGGAAAGGAAGTAGATTAGGGAGGAAAGGGGTGGTGGAAAATAGGGACTGAAATGGGGTAGAGCTTCGAGATTAGGGACATTCTAAAAGCCTTCCCAAGCAACCACTATCCTATCGCACACTTCTGTAACAAAAACCTGGGTTCGAAGTTCCGACCACACTGGTGGCATATTACTTCCCTTCGTAACTCACTCACCTGCCACCATCCACGTGTCAGCAGAGTACGGGTCCAGCGTCTGACACTTGGCCACACAGAGGTCGGCATCTGCCGCCCGCCCGCCGGCCAGATACGCCTCTGCCAAGCACTGCCACACCACTGCTTCTGTCACTGAGCCGCCCTGTGTGGGGTGGGGAGAGGAGAAGAGAATGCGTGGGGATAACGTATGCTTCTTATGCTGGGACCATGCAATAACGTGGGACCATGCAATAACGTGGGACCATGCAATAACGTGGAACCATGCACATTCAAACCATGCCTCATGCACCTGGACATGCCTCAACTGGCACCACTGCCTTATCTACCCCTCCCCCTCCTCCCTCCCTCCCCTCCCTCCCTCCCCCCTCCCCTCCCTCCCTCCCTCCCCTCCCTCCCTCCCTCCCTCCCTCCCTCCCTCCCTCCCTCCCTCCCTCCCTCCCTCCCTCCCTCCCTCCCTCCCTCCCTCCCTCACTCACTCCCCTCCCTCTCCTCCCCTTCCTCCCCTGTCTCTCACCATGTCGCCGCGCTTCTGTCGTGACAGCACAGCAGCCATGGCTTGTTTCAAGCTCTGGATACTATCTTTACCCGATCCCCCGTTCCTCCCTCCCTCCTTTCCTGTCCCTCCCCGCCCTGTCTCTCACCATGTCGCCTCGTTTCTGTTGTGACTGTACAGCAGCCATTGCTTGCTTTAAGCTCTCCACAGCCTCCCCAACGCCTGCACTCACACCACCTCCGCCATCCGCGCCGCCTCCCCCTTCCTTTTCCCCCACTTCCCCCCTCTCTCCCCCCACTCCCACACTCGCTAAGTGCACCTTGGCGTGCAGCACCAGCAGCGCTGCCCTTGCGCCCTCCCCTTTCTCCCCCCCATCCACTCCCCCTCCCCCCGCGCCCCCCGCTTTCTTCATGGCGGCTTCCCCCACGCGGCACATGTCTTCCGCGTCCTTGAATCGCTGCTGACACGTCAGCAGCAGCGCAAGCAGCTGCCACGTCAGCAGCCACTGTCCGCCGCCGGCTTTCAGTGCACGCTTCGCGACCTTCAGAGCCTCGCTAACGTGGCGCTGCTCGGCCAATGCGAGCGCGAGATCCACCATGATAGCTGCTGAGGTGACATATTCTTCTGACGCCTGGGTTAGCGACTCGACGGCGCGCTTTAGACTCAGCTCACGCCGAGCCGCGGAAATATCATGGCTGCGAGAGTGCAGCAAGAGATTAACTCCCAGCGCGTGGAGCGCCTTAGCGCGCTGCGGGCCGCTGCTGGCGGCGAGCTCGACGGCGCGTTCGCCGTAGCGCACGCCCTCCTCACTCCACGTGTCACGGCGCGCGCAAATCACGGACGCGAGAATAAGAGACGGAACGTGGTCGGGTCGCTCTGAAGGCTGAATCGCGTTTCGGACGACGTCTAAAGCAAGCGCCTCGTCGCTACTATTGTCGTTAACATCCCCGCCTCCCGCGGCGTCATTTGCGCCACCCGCGGGGGAGCTTGCGGTGTCCGTGGGGTTGGCAGGGCCACCCGCGGAGGCGGATACAGCTGCGCGGAAATGCGCGCGCGCAAGGCGGAAGAAAAGGTCGCTACGCGGAACGGCGTCGGGGGGAAGCGCGAGGAGGTCCGCGACGGACTCCGCGCCCCCGTTGACCTCCGCGCCGAGCCCTAGCCCGTCCGCGGGACCGCCCATGGCGTCAGTGGGGAGGGGACAGGACCGCACGGAAGCAGGCACGGGCGGAAGGAGAGCAAGCAGAGAGCCAGGGGAATAGAAGGGCAGTGGGCGGCGACGAATGCCTGGCCTAAAAAACAATGACTTTACAAGTAACGGCAAGCACGTGAACACGAGAGTTTTTCTCCCCCCTGGGGAACACTGGCTACTCGAATCGCAGTAACTTTAAAACGACCAGGCCGCAGTGTGTTAGATTGCACAGCTACTAAGCGAAATTGCTGCCTAGACTAGCATAATCCAAATTTGGAATCTTGTAGCGCGGGCCGTCGCACTGCGTAAACAAATAGTTGACAAGGGGAGGGGTAAAGTGGGTTTGAGAACGATGGCAAGAGTTTGGAACATTTTTGCGTCGGTTGACGAGGAGCTGGTGTGCCGAGTGGAATTGGGATGGCGCAGAGCGGGGGTGATAGAGGCTGAAGGACTTCGGTACAAGTGGTTGCGCTAAAAATAACCCTATGGGACCATACTTACCACTCATACTTAAATCAACTGCACTTGCGCAATCCTAGGTGGCTGCCGTTTCTCAAACAGCAGGTATAAATAAAAGTCCCCACTTTGTCGTAACATTAAACAGTTACTCTACCAACCCCTGCTTCTCCTTCACCCGCCCCTGCTCGACCTTCCCAGGGCAAGCACCAACACCCGCACCTCCTATCATCCCTCCCTCTATCCCTTCTGTGGTTCATCCACATACCCTGCAGCACGGACCTCCCTCCCCTCCACCACCCTCATTGCATCAATCGCAGGAGCCACTCTCGGCATGAAAGCACTCACCCATCCCCCAACTTCCCTTCCTCCCTCATCCCCTCCCCCCTTCCTTCATCCCCTCCCCATACTCCAGGAGTGCCCCCAGGCGCCATGAACCACGGCACCTCCAGCTCCTTATAGTCACGCCGCAGCGCCAGGAACTCCAAACCCAACTGTTAAATTGTAATGTGTTATATGTTGGTAGGCTATAGTGGGGTAGCCAATATGGGGTACAACCCCAACTAGGGTTTGCTACTTGTACCCAACTGTTTCATTCAATGCACCATTCTTGCCTAGTCCTGTTGACATGGTATTCAGAGCAGGAGGTCCCTAGGACCTACCGACCGTTTTTTTTAGGGCCCACCACCGCTCGCATGCGGTTACCACGCTACCCCGTGCCCTAGCCTCGTAGCGCCCTCGTGCGCCCTCGTTAGCGCCCTCGCGCGCCCTCGTTAGCGCCCTCGTTAGCGCCCTCGCGCGCCCTCGTTAGCGCCCTCGCGCGCCTCTCGTTAGCGCCCTCGCGCGCCCTCGTTAGCGCCCTCGCGCGCCCTCGTTAGCGCCCTCGCGCGCCTCTCGTTAGCGCCCTCGTTAGCGCCCCTCGTTAGCGCCCTCGCCCGCCGCGCTGCCCGCCGCGCTGCCCGCCAGTAGCGCCGCCCATCCGCCGCGCTACCCGCTCGCGCTGCCCGCTCGCAGCGTCGCCCGCCCGCCGCGCTGCCCGCTCGCAGCGTCGCCCGCCCGCCGCGCTGCCCGCTCGCAGCGTCGCCCGCCCGCCGCGCTGCCCGCTTGCAGCGCCGCCTGCCCACCGCGCTGCCGGCTTCGTAGCCCGCCCGCCGCGCTGCCCGCTCGCAGCGTCGCCCGCCCGCCGCGCTGCCCGCTTGCAGCGCCGCCTGCCCGCCGCGCTGCCCGCTTCGGTGGCCGTCCGCCGCGCTGCCTCTTTGCAGCGCCGCCTGCCCGCCGCGCTACCTGCCACGCTGCCCGCTCAGAGCGCCGCCCGCCCGCCGCGCTCCCCACCGAGCTACCTGCTTGCAGCGCTGCGGCAGCTTGCTTTGCTCAGTCGCACTGTCGCTATGGCTTCCATCCGCGTGCTGTCGTTCGATGCTGAGGGCCGCCCTGTGCAGTTCACCACTTGGCTAGATGACCTGCAGCTGTTCCTCCTGAGCGATAGCAAGGAGCATGTGTCGCTCTATGATTACGCGTCTGGTGCTGCGCCTGCCCCTCCTGCCACAGCTGAGCTTAGTGTTCGTTCCCACTGGCAGACTCGTGACGCAACAGCTCGCCTAGCCATTCGCAGTCACCTGCCGTTAGCTGAGCTCGAGCATTTTGGCGACTGCAAATCCGCTAAGGCCCTGTACGACGCTGTCGTTGCTCGCTACTCCTCGCCTGCCACAGCCGAGCTTAGCCGCCTCATGCTGCCTTACCTGTTCCCTGAGCTGTCCACCTTTGCTACAGTCGCCGATCTTATCACCCACCTTCGCACTAGTGATGCTCGCCTGCGTGCCGCCCTTCCCACCGAGTTCTGCGCTAAGAACCCCCCTCCACTGTACTGGACACTCCACTTCATAGTCACCCGTCTCCCTGACACCCTCAGCTCAGTTCGAGACCACTTCCTTGCTCGCTGTCCCACTGAGCTCACAGTCGCCCTCCTCGAGGAGCAGCTGCTAGCGGCCGAGAAGAGCATTGTAGCTGTCGGTGCTGCTCGTGGCGCTCCTCGCACCCCCATCTTTGAGGGGTGTTCTCCCTCTCCCCTCGCTCCCTCCTACGCTACTGCTGCTGCTGTTGACTTCCTTGGTGCTGAGTCTGCTGGCGCTGCTTCTGCTCCTGGTGGGAGGCGCCGCACCGGCAAGGGCAAGGGGGGCAAGGGTGGCGGGGGTGGCGCTGGGGGGGGAGGAGGTGGGGGAGGTGGGGGGGGAGGCGGTGCTGGAGGGAGCGGTGGCGGGAGTGCTGGTGGGAGTGGGGTCGGCAGCGGAGGCGGGGGCGGCGGAGGGAGCAGTGGCGGTGGTGGCGGCGGCGGCGGTGGCGGCAGTGGCGGTGGCGGCGGTGGCGGTCGGAGCGGAGGTAGTGGTGGCGGCGGAGGTCGGAGTGGAGGCACTGGCTCGGGCCAGAGCTCCCAGCAGCAGCAGCGTCCCCAGACGACCCAGCAGCTTCGTGAGTGGCTTGCTCAGCGTGGGACGTCGGGGGGCAGTGTCCGCTGTTCCTATGTCATTCGTACAGGTGACCGCAAGGGACAGACGTGTGGGAAGTTCCACACCCCGTACCGCTGCTTCTCCCGCCTTGACGACGCTTGGCGTGAGGAGATGGGCGAGGATGTTGAGCGCCCCCGCTGGGCGGAGCTGATGAGGGCTGGTGTTGATATCTTTGCTCTTGACTATGATGCTATTATTGCTGCCATGTATGCATTGATTGTTAGTGCCGAGGGAGACTGTTACTTGTGTGTGCCGCCTGACCCAGGTATAGAGCCCGCTGCCCTAGGTACTAGTGAGTCTGCTCTCTCTGGTCTGGTGCCCTCTGTGGCTGCTCCCTCCGGTACTGTCCCTGCTGCTTGTGAGTCTGCTCTCTCAGGTACAGCACCCACAGAGACTGCTCTCTCAGGTACTGCACCGGCTGAGGCCTGTCACACCTTCACCCTTGACTCAGGTGCTTCCCGCTGTTTCTTTCGTGACCGTACTGAGCTCACACCGCTTCCTGCACCGGTCCCAGTCTCCTTGGCTGACCCCTCTGGGGGCCCAGTCCTTGCACGGTCCACCACTGTGCTCCCGTGTCCAGCGGTTCCGTCTGGCTCGTTGTCGGGTTTCCACCTCCCCTCGTTCTCGACGAACCTGGTGAGCAACGCTGTCATCCAGGATCAGTGGGTTGACACCTTTACCCCTGGAGGACAGCGTGTGGCGATCCTCACGTGCTCCAGGACCGGCCGTCACCTGGCTACGTTTACCCGTCAGCCGGGGTCGAGTCTCTACACACTGACCACTGCGTCTCCTCAGGTCGCTGCTGTCGGTCAGGTGTCTGCGTCAGGTCTGGTAGCCCACGCCTGTGAGTGTCGTTCCCTGTCGCACCAGACTCTTCTCTGGCACCACCGCCTGGGTCACCCCTCCTTGCCACGCCTTCGTGGCATGCACCGTCGCCACCTTGTGTCTGGTCTTCCCAGGTCCCTCCCTCCCCTCCCTGCCTCGCCTGCGCCGCCTTGCCTTCCTTGCGTCGAGGGGCGGCAGCGCGCCGCTCCTCACTCCTCCTCGTTCCCCCCGACAGAGGCTCCTCTGCAGACCCTCCACCTGGACGTGTGGGGCCCAGCCCGCGTTCGTGGTCAGGGCGGTGAGCGGTACTTTTTGCTGGTTGTCGACGACTACTCGCGTTACACCACGGTCTTCCCCTTGCGCGCCAAGGGTGAGGTCCCTGCTGTTCTGATCCCTTGGATCCGCACAGTTTGTCTCCAGCTCCGCCGCCGTTTCCGGACGGATCTTCCTGTCCTGCGTCTGCACTCTGACAGAGGTGGTGAGTTTTCCTCCGACCTCTTGAGGACCTTCTGTCAGGCGGAGGGCATCGAGCAGACCTTCACGCTTCCGGACTCCCCACAGCAGAATGGGGTTGCTGAGCGCCGCATTGGCCTGGTCATGGAGGTCGCTCGTACCTCCTTGGTCCACGCGGCGGCTCCCCATTTTCTGTGGCCGTTTGCTGTCCGGTACGCCGCGCATCAGCTCAACCTCTGGCCCCGTGTCTCCTTGCCGGAGACCTCGCCCACACTGCGTTGGACGGGGGAGGTTGGCGATGCGTCGCGCTTCCGGGTGTGGGGTGCTCGTGCCCTTGTCCGCGATACGTCTGCGGACAAGCTCTCCTCCCGCACGCTTCCCTGTGTCTTCCTTGGCTTTGTCCCTGACGCGCCGGGCTGGCAGTTTTACCACCCCACCTCGCGCCGGGTCTTCGCCTCTCAGGACGTCACCTTTGACGAGTCGGTCCCTTTTTACCGTCTCTTCCCCTACCGCACTGCCCCCCTCCCTCCCCCGCCGCTGTTCCTTGCTCCTGGTCCCCCTCCGGTAGACCCCCTTCCCCCTCAGGGTCCTGCTCCTTCAGGTGTCTCTCAGGTAGACCCTCCTCCCGTCGCTGAGCCTGTCGAGGTCACAGGTGACTCAGGTGCTGCTGCAGGTGGTGCTGCTGGGAGTGCTGAGCCTGGGGGTGCTGAGCCTGCGGGTGCTGGGCCTGGGAGTGCTGGGACTGCGGGTGCT